TGCAGACTTCACTTGATTGGCAATATGTTTACCCACAAGGCATGGAGAAAATTGTCAACTACGTAAAAGACAGATACAATAACACTCCAATGTTCATAACTGAAAACGGTAAGCACAACCTAGTGAGTCCTTTAATGGATGGAGTTTCTGTGTATTTATTTCTCTTTGAATAAATTGTTCTGTGTAAAGAACCAATTTAACCCAAAAGCTTAAGCTGTTAGGTGAGGCTACATTAATGGTTTTATATTTATCAACACGCCCCCTCACACAAGAAGGATGGACAATGCACAGGCCCACCTACCTGTGCTAAGAAATTCCACAAGAGAAAGTGGAGACGGTGAGGATCGAACCCGGGACACGAGGCTCTGATACCATGCAAAGAACCAATTCAACCCAGAAGCTTAAGCTGTTAAGTGAAGCTACATTAATGGTTTTATATATATCAACATTCTGTAGGTTATGGAGAGTTGGACAACCCATATTACACTGAGGAGCAATACCTTAATGATTTCAACAGAAAAAATTACATGGCGGGTCATTTACATGCCCTACTGGAAGCAATAAGGTAGGAATAAATGAGAATCGAAATAAATATGCAGCCATATGAGGTGCATTCTGAAATTTAACTATATATATCTATGTTGTCATTTGTCAAATGTTTGTATAAACAATTACTCAAATTAAAACCAGTTTTCTTTTTGTTTTCCCATTTACCATGTAATCAGGAAAGGAGCTGATGTTAGGGGATATTTTGCCTGGTCCTTGCTCGACAACTTTGAGTGGTTACAAGGATATACTGTAAGATTTGGACTACACCATGTTGATTACCAAACACTGAACAGAACTCCGAGATTATCAGCAAGTTGGTACAAGGAATTCATTGCAAAGCATAAAACAGAAACCTTCTGCCAGGAATGACGATGGAAGAAGGAAAAAGCTGTTTATTGGTAAAAATCATTTTGTACAAATAATAGTTTGGGACATCTTATCTGTGCTTCTATTCTCATCAAATTATACTAATTCACTCTTCGTAAGATTTGTTCAACTCTCCTATTTTAAGCTCTGGCTTGCGTGTTCAGGGTTGATTTGGCTGGAGAGAAAGTTTAAGGTTCACTAGTATGCTCGTACTGTTCAACTTCCTTCAAATCTTTTCCTATACTTAATTCGAATTTGTAACTAGCAAAATCACAAACAACTCTAACCACAATCATATTTTCTCCAATATTGAAACCATACAATTGCTAGAACTGTACACCTTATAAGTACTGACATATTTTCTCCAAGCTTCCTTATGTTTTTTTGGCCTTTCATATATATTAATTCTTAGGAAAGAAATAGTTAGAAATTAAGCCACACCATGATCAACAAATTGTTACTGAATATTTTTTATGTATAGGAAAGGAGCAGATGTTAGAGGGTACTTTGTGCGGTCCCTGCTTGACAACTTTGAGTGGACTTATGGATACACTATAAGGTTTGGACTTCATCATGTGAACTATGCCACTCTCAATAGAACCCGAAGACTGTCAACATTTTGCTACAAAAACTTCATTGCTGAACATAAGGCTCGCTCAGGCATAAGGCTTGGGCATATCTAAGTGAGATGAACAATGGAAAGATAATTTACTTTCAATGAAGAAAATAGTAATGTAATAAAATAAGTAGTCCTTTTGTTATATAGCCTTGCTTCTTTTGTTCTTAATTTTGGTGAAAGTCTCAGGTAATAATGTCATATATAACAAGGTTGTATTTCTTGAGTTCTAATGTAAGCATGCGAAAGACACTGTTCAGCAAGTTGAGAAAAGTGGCTGATATTAGCTTGTCGTCAATAATGCAAGCCAATTTTCTGCAATTTTTTATATATACTTAGTTTCCTTTACCATTTGCAGTGTTTATAAGAAACAGATCAAGCTTCAAGCTTCAGTTGTGTTTTTGTCATATTGATCAGGGCGAAGTTTATAATTTTTTTTTTACAAATTGTTACAAATTACACTGTGTACTCTCATGAGAATATAGAGTAACCTAGTATTTTTCCGGAAGTACATAGTGTAGTTTGTAAGAGTTTATAAACAAAAAATTTGTAAATATAACCCTCCCTTGTTAATTAAGGGAAAAATATTTCTGCAGTTAATGCAGATAAGTTATCTGCAATTATTTCCAAAACGACGTCGTTTTGGTATTGAAATCATAAAAAATTATAAATATAAAGACTATTATAATCTTCAAATAAATTAAAATTACAAAAACACCATAATTTTCGCCCCAAAACAATGTCGTATTGATTTACTGCAGATAACTTATTTGCAATAATTGCAGAAAAAGAGAACTCATTAATTAATGCATAACAAGCTTTTTACACACCCACACAAAATTTGACAGAACTCATCCACCCATTTATTTAAGGGTTTTATTAATCTCATGTTAAAGGAGATAGTTATCTCATGTCATAGAGACAAACTAATGGGCTCCACCACTTAAAAAAAGAAAAGAAAAAGGTGACACAGTTATCGAAGGGTGTGTAGGAAAGAAAACTTATCTCATGTGACGTGAGAATAGTTTTTCCCTTTATTTAATAGATAACGTTTTTCATTCTAAAACTATAACAAATATATTTTAGCAATGTAGGGTCTTTCCCTTAGATTTTTACGTACCCCAACCGCATTACAATTTATATATCCTGTGTCATATAAAAAATTTAGTGTTCCAAAATATAATTAAATACACATAATCGATCCATCAACGTGTGTTGTACGTAGGGTGTAAATGGGCTAGGTCGGCCTACAGGAGTTTACGGCTTAACCTATATTAGACCAGATTTGGCCTATTACAAATAGTAAAATAGAACAGGTCTAGGCTTTTAAAAAACTTATTTAGAAAACATGGCATAGGCTTTTTTGTACACGTTGGGCCTATAAATCTACAGGCCCCCCTATATTATATTATTTATTTTAAGAGTAAATATCATTTTTGGTCCCTAACTAAAAATACGGTCCCCACTTTAGTCCCTACAAAAAAAAAAATTAGTCTCAAGGTCCCTAAGAAATTCAAAGTGGACCCATTTAGTTAAAATCATGGTCCCTCACAAATTCAAAAAAAATCCACATTAGTCCCTCAAAAGGACTAAAACAGGTCCACTTTAAATTTCATAAGTACCAACCAATTAATTTTTTTTGTAAATGACTAAAGTGGAGATCATATTTTTTTTGTTAAGGACCGAAAAAGGGTATTTATTCTTATTTTAATAAAATAAATAACATTATTATTTTAATAATTTTGAATAATAAAATAACATTCTTTTAGTTATTTTTTTAATTGTTGAATGTTTAATAGGCTTAAACAGGCTAACAGGTCTAGGCCAAGACTTTTATGTTTTAAATATAGGTGAGGTCAGACTTGTAATTTGGGGTCTACACAGGCTAATAGGCCAGACCAGATTCAATATTTTTTTCTTAGGTATGGCCTATTTAAGCCAAAACCTAACCTAGCCTCACTGTTGAAAAATCTGGCACGACCCGACTAGGTTGACCCAGAACCCAGTGAACCGGTCATCAGATCGGTTCGGGTCAAGCATTTGACCGGTCATGCATCGACCCAGTCATAACCCGGTCAAAATTCGGATAAATCTGGCCAAACTCAGTGACCCGGCAACCCAGTGACTCGGTTGGGTCATGCATTTTTTTAAAAATAAAATAAAAAAATAAACAACAAAACTGCTTCATCTTATAAAAAAAAAGGGAAAAAGTATCTAATGTTACTTTAGATAAATTTATCTAATGGTCGCCGAAACGACGTCGTTTTGAGGTTGAAAATTTAAAAAATTTGAATGATAAAGACTATTATAACCCTGAAATTAATTAAAATTACAAATACGCCATGATTTACGCCCCAAAACGACGTCGTTTCGGCGAACATTAGATAAAGTTATCTAAAGTAACTTTAGAAAAAACGAACCCTAAAAAAAAATGTAAAACTCATTTTAAAAACTTCTTGTAATTTTATTTGCTAGTATACTCTTCTACAATGACCTCTTAGTTTCCAATACTGAAGCAATTTGTGGAATAATAAATTAGAAAATGTGAATTATGTCATTTTAATGTAGTTAAATTTAAAAAATATGAGTTCAATGTCATTGAGAGATATGTTTACGGGGATTCTAAGTTGCAATTTAAATTGACATAGTAATAGGCATAGCATGTATTTTTATTTATTTATACTTCATGTTTTTGAGCTTATTTAGTGAATCTTGTTTAATTCATTTTAGATATGGAGAATATAATTGAATTTATATGTTCATATTTATATATATATTTATATATCTATATATATGCGGGTCAACCGGCCCGACCAATAACTCGATGACTCAGTACCCCAATCGAGTCGATGCCCGGGTCAGGTTTAACAATACTGCCTAGCCTATTTACACCCCTACAGTTATACTCTTTTTTTAATGCCAACAAATAAATAACAATCGCTTACTTCCAGAAATTAAACTAAAGGTATTTGGTTTTTACAAGTTAACTATAAGGTTCACATAAAGTGATCTCGTGAGTAAGAATATGGTTATTTTTAAATTTTAATAAATTAAAATTATGATATAATTCAAATTAAATCACTCCTACATATATTATATATTAGAGATAAAATGTCTTGCGACAAGGCCCATGCCCATTTACATGCTCAACATGGCGTTATTCTTTTGGGCTCCTTTTAACCACATCGCGTGCCACAACTTCCTAATTAATAATTAATAAAATGAATTTGAAAATTAAGAAAATTTAGAATTACGATGCTGATATTGTTTATACACGCTTGAATGACGGCTCGGGCACTTGTATTTATCCGATAACATGTCATTTTTTTTATTTATATTATTCATAAACACTGTATAATCGAAAGACTTCGCTCCCTTAGAAATTAGAATTAAATATATATTATGCTCTTTTTCTCTCTCTCTTCTTGATAGTATATATAGGCGTTATACTTATATCATGCACAATGCAATGGCGTTCTCTACATTGCTGAAAGCTCTGTTTCTGGCGATACCTTTGATTCTTATGCTCATGCCATGTTCTATCATAGCACTTTCAAAGGGATTGGAACAATCTCCATTACCAACCAACTTCCTCTTTGGGACTTCTTCTTCTTCTTACCAGGTGACTTAATTTACTATTAATTATAATCACCAATTATAACTCAAGCTCTTTAATTAACTATTATATCATATATGCATGTTTTCTTTTCTTTAACTTTACTTCGAGGTTTGTCCTTTACAGTATGAAGGTGCATACTTGAGTGATGGGAAAGGAGTAAATAACTGGGATGTCTTCACTCACAAAACACCAGGTTACTTTGTTTTGTGATGTTACAAAACATGCACAGATTACACCTTTCTAATCGATTGCATATAAACTTAATTTGCTAGCTATTGCTTATATATACGTTCAAACTTTCCATTTTAATAAATTAAAGAGTAGTATATTGATGAACGATTGCAGGTAGAATAATTGATGGAAGTAATGGGGATGTTGCGGTTGACCAATATCATCGCTATCTGGTAATACATCTTCAAAATTCATGACTTTGGTTTTAAAATAATGGCTAATCAATTTAGCCCTACTAAAAATATGTCTGATTTGTACACTGCGTGTGTGGCGTCCACCATTAAGCATAACCTGCCAGCAAAATAATACTAAAACAAGAGTTAATTTCTTTAAATAATACAATTTTATAAAGCATAACCTGTCTGTACGTAGTGGCATTTCTACGGCAAAAGTTTAAATCTTAAATTCTATATAATAATATAGGGAGAGGTTATATTTATTATTATTTTTTTACTATCAAATCTTAACCGTTGATTTTCATCAATTTAACGATTATAATTTATTGAGTCACATTTATTAATTAATTATTAAATTTCAATAAATTACAACCGTTAGATTGAAGAAAATCATCGATTAAGATTTGACAGTAAAAAGTAATAAAAAAAATAGTAAATATAACAATTTCCAATAACATAATATAAGGTGTGTGTTAGTTATTTTACTAAAAACTTTTTTTTGTTTAAAATTCAAATTCCCCACATGAGGGATTTTAGCTGGCCAAATCAACAATATCGCTTACGTTATTTTTTCTATTCTATAAAATATGATCAATTAGAGATTTAAATGTAAAATATGAGTCCAACCAAAAAATATAATATAATATGTTCCGTTAACTAGAAATCTTGAGGCTAACTTCCATCAACTTAGCTAGTTTATATAAGATTCTCTTTTAAATCATCTATGTTTTTAGGGATTGGTTTTTTTTTTTTTTTTTTTGAAGACAGGGATTGGTTTTTCGTATATTACAAGAGATAAATTTACTTTTTATACACATATAAAAGTGTGTGGAATACATGTTTTCTTTTTTTCTCTCTTCTCTTTACATGGACCCTATACACCTTTTATGTTTATCTCCTATAATATGAGAAATATTAATCCAATATCATAACATTATAATAAACAAGTGTGAAATAGTTTTGCTTCTTGAGGATTTTTATTTTTTTGAAAAAAGATACTGCCAGATTATTACATCAGCTTATCCATTATTATAGGGGGTTTTTTTTTTGGTTATCCAACATTGTCGTTTTTTATTTTTAAAAAAATTCAGGAGACGTGAAAAGTCAATTAGAATAAAAGTTGATGAATTGTACCAAACATTATCTTGGATTTGAATTCTAGACTGATATATTGAATGTCGAGGAAGAACTATAGTCTAACAACGTGGCTTGAAACAGGAGGATATAGATCTAATGGAAGCAATAAAAGTCAACAGCTACAGGTTCTCAATTTCATGGGCGAGAATTTTACCAAGTATGCTTCTTTGCTAATCTCGAATCAATTAGGGATTAACTGTTTCTTGATGTCAATTCTTCATGTAGACTTTGATACATTTTTTGACAGAAGGTACATTTGAAGAAGTCAATTTGGCTGGCATCAGCTACTACAACCGGCTAATAGATGCTTTGCTACTCAAAGGTATACTTTTAGTTTTTGTTTTATTTTGATTAAGGAAAACTACATTTTAACGTGAACGGCATGGTAACTTCTAGAATATCAAAGACTGTTAGCATACAAAAGTTATTAAATAGACATAGTCTGCTGCATATAAAGAATGTCATATCAAAAGTTGGTATGTATACTAGTAATTTGTCTTGTATGAATGAAGTTACGTGAGTTATAGTAGAAATGCATTTATTTATTTATTTATTTTTAAAAAATGTCTTCATATATGTCAACTGTTGGTTTGAACATTCAGTAAATCTATAATTTGCCATTGATTTATCAATGCGTTTGAATTCTCTCAATTGGACCAACTCACAGGAATTCAACCATTTATAACATTGTCACACCTTGACTTTCCCCAAGAACTTGAAGACAGATACGGAGGTTGGCTAAGTCCCAAGTCACAGTAAGCAACTAGCTAGTAATTATGCTTTAATATGCTTTGTTACTGCTACACGTTAAGGAATAATATAAATCATTAAAAAAAATTCTCACACACCACTTTAAATTTTGGATTGAAGTGACTTGAAAAAGGGTAATAAAATATATTATTGAATTGTATGTAAATTGTACAAAGGGTTTTCTATTTAAAGAGATTACATGACCAAAAGAACTAAGCTCAATACAACAAATAAATAAATATTATATTATTATTTACAACACTCCCTCTCAAGCTGAGGAATAAATATTTATCATTCTCAGCTTGCTAGTAAGCTCTTGAAATCTGTCTGAAGAAAGTTCATTTGTCAATACATCAGCTAATTGACGTCCAATGAGAATGTATAGAGTGATAATCAACCCACTATCAAGTTTCTCTTTGATGAAATGGCGGTCGACTTCAATATGTTTAGTCCGATCATGTTAAACTGGATTATGAGCTATACAAATAGAATCTAGTGCTAAAACAAAGCTTTTGTGCTGCACAGAAATATTAGTAGAAGAAACAAAATGGGAGATAGGGTATTGAGTACAAGAGGGACAATATTTTTTTGAACAAGATCTTTTCCCTTTTCATAGGGTAATATGTAAGTCATCATAAGCAGAAGCAATGGATAACTTCATCACAGGTATCAGAAGAAATAGGCAAATCATGAGAGGCAATAATATTAGAATCAGAAACAGGAGATTCAGGACTTACCAGTGGTTCAGACGATTGAGGTTGCTGGTGAGACAGTATGGGTTGTTTCCTCCTCTGATATACCAATTCAGGTGTCAAAATATTTCGTATCTCAGGTGTATTTGAAGGTTCTGACATACCAGGAGCAGACACACTAGGAAGAGGTGTAGGAGTAGACAAGGACGATCCAAACTCAAAGAAAGAAGGGGATGAATCTTCTGAAGAATTGTTTTCCCCCTGAAGATGAAGACCCAGGAAATAAGATTCAGATTCTTGAAAGGTGACATCCATAGAAACAAAAAAAATTCGACTTGGTGGATGATAACACTTGTACCCTTTTTTATCAGGGGCATAACTAAGGAAGACACACTTAAGAGCCCTAAGATCCAACATTCTGCGATGTTGTTTATGAACATGAACAAAGGCAACACATCCAAACACTCTTGGTTGAAGGCTCTGCAAAATGGGAACATAAGGAAATAAGGAAGTCATGGAATGAATAGGATGGGTATTGTTAAGGACCCGTGAAGGTAAGCGGTTGATCAAAAAGGCTGCAGCTAACACGACTTCTCCCCAATAAGAACTAGGAACAGATGTCTGGAAAAATAGTGCTCTAGCAACTTCTAGGAGGTGACGATTTTTTCTTTCAGCAACCCCGTTTTGTTGAGGGGTATCAACACATGTGAGCTCATGAATCATTCTTCTGTCTAAAATGAATTGTGATAGGCGTTAGTTGACGTACTCAGTACCATTATCGGATCTTAGTCTTTTAATACACTTACCAAACTGAGTCTCAACCATGTGATGAAATCGAATAAATATCTCTGGTACTTCAGACTTGTCTTTCATCAAGAATATTCATGTTACCTGAGTACAATCGTCAATAAAAGAAACAAACCACCTTGCACCTGAAATACTATGCACTTTAGAAGGCCCCAAACATCAGAATCGATAAGAGAAAAAGGTTCGTTGCTTTTGATAGTGCTAGAAGGAAATGACACTCGATGGTGTTTTGCAAATTCACAAACATCACAATGGAAGGTCTCAACCGACTAATTTAGAAACAGAGAAGGAAACATTGACTTCAATAGACTGAATGGTGGATGCCCCAGACGCTTGTGATGGAGCCAAATCATAGACTCTGCAGTAGAAGGATGACATGTCATTAATAACTAATTTTTGCTATCATTTATGGCATGTTCTGGAAGGAGATAATACAACACATCCTGCTCATTAGCAACTCCAATTGTCTTCTTCGTGGTAAGATCCTGAATAACACAATGAGAAGGAAAAAATATGATAGAACAATTCAAATCAGTTGTAAGTTTTTGAGTGAAAATAAGATTAGTAGAAAGCTGAGGAACATAAAGAACGTTTTTAAGAAACAAGGAAGGTTGAATTTGAATGTTACCAGAACCAATAACTGATTTATGGGATCCATCAACTATGGATATAGTATGACTACCAACAATATGATGATAAGAAAGAAAAAACTCAGTACGACAAGTCATATGATCAGTTGCACCAGAATCCAAAATCTATGAGGTTTTAAAAACAGTGCAAGAAGCAAGAAGAGATGTAGAACGTGTGTTCTTACCAGACAAGATCAAAGAACGGTCAAATGGCTTACACATATTATCAATAGCGGGTTTAAGCTGACCCAACTCCCTTTGCTGAATATTCACATATGGAGAGACATGTGGAGACTGCGTAATAATCGAACCATCTTCTAAATCGGCCATAGTGATAAGAAAGAGTGAAAAACAGCACCAAAGAACACACAACAGACACCCAAACGACGTCAGATCAGAGAGAAAATCACAGATCCAGGTAGAGGAAGAAAACACAGATCTGGAAAGAGGAGACAAAACCAAGCAGGAAAAGTTTTTTTTTGTGAACAGTACTGTGTTTTTTTTTTAGTTGTTCCGATCGTCTGATGAAAAAGAAACCTCCGTAAAATGATAGATCTAAGAAAACAGAGTGAAACAGGGGTCCTCACGGTCCAAAAGGTTCCCGAAATTTTTTTTCCAGCAGCGGCTTTGTGGCGGCGAGAGGAAAATAGGGTTTGGTTTTTAAAGACGGTGATTTGCGGAAGCAGAGCCCTCAGAATCGAGGGCTCTGATACCAACTTGAAAAAAGGTAATGAAATATATTATTGAATTGTATGTAAACTGTACAAAGGGCTCTCTATTTAAAGAGATTACATGACCTAATGGGCTAAGTCCAATGCAACAAATAAATAAATAAATATTATTATTTACAACAAAGTGGTTCTTTACATAGTATCAGAGCTTCAGTGACCATAAGGTCACGATTTCGATCCTCACCGCCCCCACTTGTGGAATTAAATAAGCATAAGGTAAACCAAAAATTGGGCCTATATAATAATCCACGCTTCAAGCTCAAAGGGCTCTTGCGTGAGGGGATGTGTTAGAGAATAATATAAATCATTAAAAAGGCCCTCACACAACACCTTAAGCAACTAGCTTGTAAATATGCTTTGTTACTGCTATAAGTATATATTATAATTTTAATCTTTAATGAGAAAATCAACTCTTAATATACATGCACATGCCTAGCAATTCATTCATTTATTAAAATTAAAACTCTGAATGAGAAGGCTCAGATTTATGAGCCAAATCCGAAATTGAGCATTTATATCGGTCTTTATTTACTTGGACAAAGTATGCTAATAAATATCAATACTTAATGAATGTGCAGGGAAGATTTTGAATATTTTGCGGACCTATGTTTTAAATCATTTGGTGACAGGGTAAAGTATTGGGTAACCTTCAATGAGCCAGAATACTTAGCTACATACGGTTACCGCAGAGGACAAGGTCCACCATGTCGTTGCTCAAACACATTTGGAAATTGCAGTGAAGGAGATTCAGAGAAGGAGCCATTTGTGGTGGCCCATAATATAATCCTATCCCATGCAGCTGCAGTTGATATTTATAGAACCAAATACCAGGTATTTTAGTTTTAAACATCTAACACCAAATGAGAAGACACATTAAAATTTTTCTACCCATAAATTTGATGATATAAACATCTTCATTAGTCAGAATATTAAGGGTGTGAGATCCAAATTTTTAAAAAGAAAATGGAAATAATAGGAAATACTAATTTAAACCGTTGTGGAGGACTCACTAAGTTACTTACTATATTATGACTGAAATATTCAGACTGAGCAAGGTGGTAAAATTGGCATTGTTGTGCATGCTGACTGGTATGAACCCATCAGCAATTCCACCGCAGACATCTTGGCCACAGAAAGAGCACGATCATTCACCTTGAATTGGTAACCTTCCTTTTAACAAATGACACTTTTATGTTTTGGTTCAATTTGCACATAAAGCAGACAAGTTCATTTTCTAAGCATGTATTCAATAGTTAATTATAATCACAATGCAGGTTCTTGGACCCAATCATATTCGGTAAATACCCTACAAATATGCAGAAGATTCTGGGAAATACCTTACCCGAATTCTCCAATAATGACAAAGAGAAACTCAAGGGAGGATTGGATTTCATTGGCATTAATCACTATGTTAGTTACTATGTCCAGGACTGCATGTCCTCCATATGTGAACCAGGACCTGGGGTCACCAGAACCGAGGGTTCATACCAACAAAGTTCAAAAAAAGATGGAGTTCCAATTGGGCAACCTGTACGTATCTTCAAACTTATGAGTTATGATCATGAAACTCACATTCTCCCTTACATTAGCAATCTGATCCTGAAAATTCTATAAACATGCAGACTTCACTTGATTGGCAATATGTTTACCCACAAGGCATGGAGAAAATTGTCAACTATGTAAAAGACAGATACAATAACACTCCAATGTTCATAACTGAAAACGGTGAGCACAACCTAGCGAGTCCTTTAATGGATGGAGTTTCTGTGTATTTATTTCTCTTTGAATAAATTGTTCTGTAGGGTATGGGGAGTTGGATAACCCAAATTACACTGAGGAGCAATACCTTAATGATTTCAACAGAAAAAATTACATGGCGGTTCATTTAGATGCCCTACTGGAATCAATAAGGTAGGAATACATTAGAATCAAAATAAGTATGCAGCCATATGAAGTGCATTCTGAAATTTAACTATATGTATATATCTATGTTGTCACTTGTCAAATGTATGTATAAACAAATACTCAAATTAAAACCCGTTTTCTTTTTGTGTTCCCATTTACCATGTAATCAGGAAAGGAGCTGATGTTAGGGGGTATTTTGCCTGGTCCTTGCTCGACAACTTTGAGTGGTTACAAGGATATACTGTAAGATTTGGACTACACCATGTTGATTACCAAACACTGAACAGAACTCCGAGATTATCAGCAAGTTGGTACAAGGAATTCATTGCAAAGCATAAAACAGAAACCTTCTGCCAGGAATGACGATGGAAGAAGGAAAAAGCTGTTTATTGGTAAAAATCATTTTGTACAAATAATAGTTTGGGACATCTTATAACCTTGATGCTGGAGCCTAATCTGCTACATTTCCAATAGTTTGGGACATCTTATCTGTGCTTCTATTCTCATCAAAATATACTAATTCACTCTTCATAAAGATTTGTTCAACTCTCCTATTTTAAGCTCTGGCTTGCGTGTTCAGGGTTGATTTGGCTGGAGAGAAAGTTTAAGGTTCACTAGTATGCTCGTACTGTTCAACTTCCTTCAAATCCTTTCCTATACTTAATTCGAATTTGTAACTAGCAAAATCACAAACAACTCTGACCACAATCATATTTTCTCCAATATTGAAACCATACAATTGCTAGAACTGTACACCTTATAAGTACTGAGGTGACAGATTTTTTATGTCTATACATATATGGAGGTATACGACCAAATAACCGAAGGCCGTTTAAACACTTGGCACTCTAACAAATCATTCATGCTAATCACAATTAACCTGAATGAAGAATGAAACAGTAACTCAAATTATAAGGGGGATATGTAGCCTTTTGGCTTGAAAAAATGTTTATCAAAGTACATTTAATAAACCTTCGAGATATCCCAACATTAAACAACACGTACTCTTCATGATCTTGTTGGAACAATTATATAAAATTCCATTCTATTAATATAACGAAATTTCGAGACATCAACTTCGTACTTTAATTCAATATTTTACTTTCTATAAATACTTTAGGATCTTTAATTAATAGGTATTTATAAAATTAAGCCAATTTTTGCTCCTCTCTTTTTTTAACCGTTGCATAAAAATCAGATTCTATTATGAATATACTAATTTATTATTAATGATAAAGACATTTGAAGAAAAAATAGATTTTCATATAAGATTAATTATGAGACACAGAATTTTAACAGTCACCAAATTCAAATGAGCTGACACGTTGTTAAGCCAATATGTAAGTTTGAAAAGTGCTAATGCATAGGTAGTTTATCACAGCGATGGACGCATCGTTTAACTTCTTTAGAAATGTTCATGAAAATTGGTTGCTATATAAAAAGTCAAATTTATTGAGGACGTCTTTTTTATTTTAGGCAGCTTCATTTTAATGTTTATAATTCAATTTTTATAAATTAAATATGCACTCATGCTTGCATCTTATTTACAGGTAATTTTTCAATAGAACCTACAAATACTTTTGTACTATCATGTTACTTTTATGAATAGAATATATTCATGCAATATACTCTTAATTGAATATTTGAACTCTGATTTTACGTTATTCATTTTCCTTTGAGTGAAAATACAAAGTTCATATCATCATGATTTTTCTGCGTACAAACAACTAAATGGAAGATCAAAATCCATTTAGTATAGAATATATATAAGAAGAAATTGATAAATATTTTATTTAATTATTATTTGAAGTATGACTGATCAGGAAAGGATCCCGCACCACTATGAGGGGACATATGATTTGGACTCCACCATGTTGGTTAAAATAGCTTTGAGGAGAACTTTAAAATCACCAGCAAGTTCAAGCAAATGATTGCCGAACATAAATAGAGAACAAGAAAAGCCAGTACAAACAATTTAAGGTTGACGCGAGCTTAAGGCATTAATATCACAGCCTAATCAGCCATGTTTTCATTTAGTGTGAAATTTTTCAGAGTTGTTCAATCTCCAAGTAAAATATATAAAACTAAATTTTCTTTTCAAAAAGACGTCTCAATTCGTGAATAACCTATCCTTTGGCTTACCTGTTCAGAGTGGATTCTGATAGAAAGCGTGCTACAAGGTTCACCAGTATATGACAGCACGCACAATTTAACCACCGTATGAAGCTGCTCTTCTTTTTTGACTTTTTATTTGGGTTTATCTTTTTAAACCAGCATACAATGTTCCATGACCGCTCTTCCACCTTTTGAATATCTGTATCTGCATATAAAACGTTCCTTTATTTGTCAGGCATACAAATCAGTTGTAACACTGAATCGGGATTTTTTCAACTTGAATAGTAGTATACTCACTTAAAACTGAGGCAAAACAAAAGCATAGCTTTACAATTGATCCCTATCCTGAACTCAAGCACAAATTTCGACCATTTTAACACCTCCACCAAGGCGAACCAGCTTTGTAGAAGTGTTCATCATCATCCCATGAAATTTGACATGCTTGAAGGCCAATTGCAACACTCGGCTCTTTTCCATGTTGTGCAATCCAATTTATAACCGACGTTTCTTTTTCACTTTCACTACTGAAATCTTTAATGTATTTTCCAAATGGATTAAGTCCAGGATTAACCATCTCTGCAATTGCAGCTGGCATATACGCAGAATCACCAATTAGAGGTGCTTTACACGCAGAAAATTGAGCTCGAATCTGCATTAAAATTGAAGTAACTATTCAGGTACAAAATGTAGTTTCCTCTTTTATAAGATAATCAAATAAAAGAAGGGGGAAAAAAATTCTTTATTCATTCATATAAATAAAGCCTTTGAAACTTGTGGCAGGCAACTGGCTCACCATTCATACAAAAGGATCAAACATTCAAGTGGCCAACAGTCGATACCATATTCTGGCATATATAAACATTCAGAGAACAAATGGAGGGGAGGGTGGAGAGAAATTATAAATTTAAACCAGAATTGCATTCTCCTAATATTAGATCCAACAATTGCCATACCAATATATTTTGTCTACATTATTGCGATTTATAGCAGCTGAATAATTGTTCAACTAACAAAGGCAGCCAGTCAACAGCATACAGCTCATGAAGGCATATGAAAGGATAACACGACGAACCACTTATCAGTTCACTTGAGGATAAGAATTACTGCTTACCTATATTTTCATTTTAATGTGTAGAAAATTATGGATTAACAAAATAAAACTCTTCAGTAAAAACACAAACAACACAAAAGGATAGCTAACAGACCTGATGAGTTCGACCGGTAAGAAGGTTGATTTTACACTCATACGCATAATCTTGAGAAGGCCACCCACAGTCTTCAACACAATATTTGTCTTGAATAGCAGCAGTTGGCCAGGGAACCTTATTGCATTCCATGACCTCAAGTCGACAAAGCTGCCATCCCTTGATGAAATCTGCAGTCAAAAAAACCTACTGGGTTGAATCCACAATACAAGACCCTTATTTGGAAACATTTTACCCACACCATAGGGCAAAATAATGTTTCATAATTTAAATTTGCAATGTAGATGACCTTGTCCATTGACACATCATGTTGCTGTAGTACGCTACACTAGGCTAAATATTCAAACCATTCTTATATAAACTTTGGGAAAATTTCACCCCAAAAGCTAGCCCATGAGGTAGGAGAACCCAAAATCAATATAAACCCCACATCAGAACCTTATGTTTCCCATGTGGGACTCCAAGTCCCATACCTTGGAGTAGGATCGTAACATCCCACCACGCTCCTCAGCCCCGAAGCCTATGCGGGCTAGCTTTGCGCTAGTCTTTTACTAGCCCTGGGCAAACACTGCAATGTCATGGTCACCACCCATTCTGCTTGATTGCAACTGGGAAACATAGTGGAAGGCTTTGATACCAATTGATACAAACCTTGGGAGAGCTTCATCCCAAAAGCTAGCCCATGAGGTAGGAGAACCCAAAGTCCATATAAACCCCACACCAGAATCTTATGTTTCCGATGTAGGACTCCAAGTCCTAATGTCCTATACCTTGGAGTAGGATCGTAACACATATCAATTCTATTCAGTCAAAAAACATAATCATATGTTCATTAAGTAGCTAATTTCCATCTTGGCTAATGCACCCAACCAAAGCATATGGTTAAAAATGTTATAATATCTCAAATTTCCGTCAAGTATTTTAAAACTAAAATATTATTCTCAAGAGCATCCCTCTGTCTTCTATTGTTAGCTCTTTCCTATTACTAGTTTCAGGGAGTGGAATATTGAATATGTGCCATAGGCAAAGCTAATGTTTCAAGTTAAGCTTATGAGCCACCAATACCATGAGGCATGGGCTTGGCTTCTCCAGTGGAAGCTGCTGAAAAAACAATCACTAAAAGCATACTTATTTATTACTATTTAGCTATTTCATGGTTCTCAAACAATCTTTCCTAATCACTCCAAATTGCGCAATTACCTTGAGAAACAATTCGAGGAGCCATGTTAATAGGACGCATGTAGTGGGTAATGATTCCAGTTGGCAAAGGAGAAGCTGCAAGAGCAAGATAGAGCTTCTTCACCTTTTTCTCCTGAAAAAAATAAATAATAATAATTGCAAAAGTGCATAACATATGACCAATGCAACACTAGATACAATTAATCTGCACATTGACTAGATGCTAAAGGCACCCCTCCAAGCAGTTACACCCCATGTCATGAGGAAGACCAAACAGCTAATGCTTTAAAGGAGTGTGCCTTTTCCAGTAGTAGAATTGTAGATGGTTATTCAAGCATAAGGTATGAAATGACATCATAGACTTACCCTGATTTTGCCATGAAAGACAGAGCAATACTCTTTATTCCTAGCCAATACCACACTGAACATAAATAACAGTCCATTACAATCTATGACAGTCGAAATGACAAGGAGCAACAATTATTTTCGATATAAATGCACTACCAGCCTTCGGTGCAATTATCAATCTGATGGGTAGTCATCAAAGGAGTTGTCAATCCCAAGGCACGAGTTGCAAAGGTTGCACAACTTTCTTCAATGTTGTCGGTAGTGCCACCTACCTAATCAATTTAAAAAAGAACAAATTGAAGAGAAACTAATCAAGTAAACATACCAATGAATTTCAAGACCCGTCATAAAGAATCTTGAATTCTTGACTCTCCATACTAGTAATCTAACACTATACACCATTCTATTCAAGGCTAGCATAGAATTTATCTCTGACTTTTTCTAATTATTGTTATTGTGACTAGCTTCCTCTTTCTGTTTTTTTTTTTTTTTGAATACAGCTTCCTCTTTCTCTTTGATTCACATCCCTTAACCTAATTTTCAGCCTACTAAATACATATTCTATCCATGTTGTACAACCAACTCATTCAACTGGTCCGGCCAATCTTAATTTTAGACGCAATCCAATTAGAATTATGGTATGCTAAAGTTTTAATAAAACCAAAAGATAATGTATAGAGAAAATAGCTAAATCTGAAGACATATATAGATAATGATTTACTACAATCTATTAGATAGAGCACATAATAATAACCCATTGGCCTAATCTAATTAACAATTTAACTCACTTGATGCAGAACATAACCCATGGTTATAAATATTACAGGACTCTGCACTATCCTATCATCCAAAGTACCAAAAAAGAAAAACTTATTTGACACATATCTGGGGATTAATAACTTTTTTCCGAGTTCATAGTGTGGTGGGATTGATTACATACCGACGTACCAGCAGGTTTATCCAAAATTACATACGATTCCGTGATAGCTATGATCCTTGATCTCCAGTCAATTTGATAGCACCTAAGAAAGGCTTTAAAATGTCAAACATGATCTTGCCTCTACAGTCTAAAAAGTAAATTCCATTTCTACATTCTAAAGTACCTAGGAAAGCGTTTGGGATGCACATGCACACGCAAATACGTTCCAGGTTCAACAAGTTGATCGACGTGAGTTACACGGAATGCTTTCTGCGCCTCTCGTATAGTTTTGCCTTTGACGGAAGCTCTTTTTCTCACAACCGATGGTTCCGTTACTTCTTTGAATATCCTAATTTGCTCTTCAGTAGCATTAGGAGGAGGCTGGGGACAAACAAGAGCATAGAATACGGCTCCAAATTGGATCAGATCTGCAACAAACCTTCACACAATGAAACTTAGCATTCAATCCAATTTATGAGAATATAATACAAGAATTTCATAAAATTGTATGATATGAAGAGACAATGAACAGCACAGCACACTTACAAAGGAGGAAGATCCAGAGCCTTGCATATATATTCTAAGACAGGTCCTCCTTCTGATACAACTAAGTGTTCAACTCTTGGTGGATACTTTTGTGATGGACATGGAAGCAATCGATCATACTTCGGGTAGCTTCAACAAAAGCAAGTCTCGGTATCAAGCAAAAAAATGCAGGAGGTGGAAAGAAATTACATAGTTGAGAATCAACATAGATTTTTGAGAACATTGAAGGTACCTATTGGAAGAAGAGGTGGAGGTTAACTTCCCGTCGTCGATTGTTGAAGATTCAGTTTCACCGGCGAGCGCAGTGTTACTGTTATGTGAACTTCGAAAACACCAACTCAACGCTTTCTTGTTGTGGTGTTTGTTAAGAGCTGCGCGCGAGATGAGAAGCGCGCGCGCCGTTCCAGGCACGGCGAAGCTTCGGCAGCCGCTGGCGAACATCATTGACGCCACTGCCACCGAACTCATCCTCTATCTCCTCTCTTCGATTCGAGCTTCTCCACAATTATCGGGTTAGGGCGGGTTTTGAAATTTGAAAAGTTAAGGCCCATCGTAAGAGGGCTCCAATATTGGGCCTATTTAAATACGAAAATGCGTACAAATGGGTCCTCATAAATGAACTGGGTTTTATATTGGGCCTTCGTTGCATGTGACCTGTGACACGTTCATGAGAAAAACAATTTACACGTGTTGACACAGCTCTGCCCTCTCATTATTCTAGTTATGGATATATTTTGATGTTTGTTAGACAAACATAAACATATACTTTTATTTTGTTCAATGAAAAATATAATACTCTAATTTTACAGATATTTTAATTGTTTCATAATTAACTCTATTATTATATTAAAACAATTTCACTATCTTTCTAACTTAAATAATCATAAAATTTTAGTATTTTAAAAGGTTAGAATTTTAAAAATATTTTATTCAGGCGTATTTTCATGTTTTTACTTAAGGAAGTTAAAATCATGTATTGCTAAAGTCATTTAGCTTACATACTAAAAAACTAAATAATCATTTCATTATAAAATAAGCAAGACTTTTAATTTGTTTATGTATTTTTATCTGATATTTTTAAAAATCAATAAATATTAATTCTCTTTTGAAACAGGATTAAATAGTGTATTTAAATAATAACCTAAATAATAAAACAAGCCTAACGAATGATATATGTCTCCTACTTAATTTTTTGTTATGCAGTTAATTCATAAAAGATTATTTTGAAAATAGAAAAATAAATAAATAAAAAGATAAAAAGTCTGAAAGAATTAAATGACAAGAATAAAAATTGAAACAAATAAATTATTGATATGGCAATTGAAATATAAAAATGACATACAAGTATTAAAATAAAATAAAACAACTTTTATATTATATATTAATTGATTGATACGTGACCAAACAAAATAGTAGTCCAATATCCCCAGTCATTCATAACGTGTAAGGTACGGTACCATCTAGATTCAAGCTGTTACGCATTTGTTTGATAAATGGTCCCAACTCCTAGCTCTTTATAGGGTAAGCTAATTGCTAGGTAACTGCAGTGGGTCAAAAGAAGTGAGTTTGAAATGGAAAATTTAGATATGATTCTCAACTTATCATAAAAAACACAAAGATAATGCGCTTCCTATTCATCACATGTGTTGTCTTAATTTCATTTTGATTTTGACTATTGTGATCAACTTGTGATGAGATCATCACTTCTCTCAATCTTAACTCGGAATACAAGTAGACACTAAATCTTCGCAACTATGTCTTATGCAGAATTGCGAAATCCACACAGCCCCACCCAAGCAGAAACTCACTTGGGTTGTCTCTTTTCACCCTACCACCCTAAATTTCTTTTTGTTTTAGCTCGCAAAAGATTGACTGAGACTTTTCTCATATTTACAGTGTGCTTTTAGAAAATAAAATACGAATTTCACACCAGTCAATTTAGTATAGAGTTATTCCAACTTAATCAGTAATTTTAAATTCAAATTTTGGATACACCATCAACTTAGTAGAGAGAGTTTTGCCATTTTATAGTTGTGTCTCGCTCGACTGAATTAATTGATGAATCGCTTTATACCTTATACTTTAAATTATTTAAATTCGATTAGAAATAATTTACTTCATGCGTCCTTACCTTTGTCTTAAAGTCTTTTAACCCAATAAATACAATTTAGTTGGCAACACAACACAAGCTACGTTGATGGAGTGAGAACATGAGTTTGATTTTCACAGAAAATATTTTTGGGAGGGCGAAGAGCTTTAACTTTGATTAAATCTCAACTCGGAATTAATTTTATAGCTAACTCAAATAGTTAAAATTTATAGGAATACTGGATCGACTTGTCTCAAGATTGAGGGTAAGATTTCTAACTCTTACACTGATATAAGAATATCCTGCCTTTATATATATATATATAACTCGGCATCCTATTCAGCATGCTTTCTAGATGATGAGTATATGCAGATGAAGAATGAAAAGGTAAGGTTTAAATGAAACCTTTTCTTATTTTAGATGTTCTAAACAGCAGGGTTAAAATTGAATAATTGATATTCTATTTTTAAATAGTTTATAATTCGAATAGAGGTAGGATTTGAAAGTTGACATCTCATTTGAGAATCGTTGGATGAAAAAAAATAAACGACTCTGATTTGTAAGCATGTGACTCCATTGATTTTTTTTTTATTTAACGGTTCTCAGATGAGGTGTTAAACTTCAAATTACCTCATTCGAATAATATTTATTATCTATTGTCACATATTTTTTTAAATGAGTCCTTTTACACGTATAGCTATAATCTTCTCTCCATATATTCTCAATATTATAATTTTATTTATAAATTTTATAAATTATTATTAATACTCTACATATTATTAGTATATTCAACTTGGACGAAATATAAAAGGGTAAGCCATTATAATTATCTATTGATAAGAGATTTGAGTAATTTGTATGTAGTTATAAATTTAAACCTCAGTGTCACTATTATTTAAAAAAATGTAAGAATTAGATGAATCTCTCAAGTGTTTGTTTTCCTCGTGTATATTTTTGTACTAGGAAATTATAGTTGCATAATAAAAAAAACAGTCGGGCAAAGGTGAATTATTGGAATGAATATTTAGTGAAATTTAATTATTACTTATAAATTGTGATAAAATTTATAAAGTATAGGAGAATTAAATTATGTGAATACTATTCTTTCTGTGAATAAATGAAGTAAATACCAAATAAAACTACCCCATGCCATGAAGAAAACGAAATAAAACCACTACAATGGTGAGAGGTTACGTGGAATAATTTCTAATGAATGCACGGGGGGGGACACATGATGTAGTCAAATCTTTTTAAGGACAGACCACATGCACACACAAGAAAACACAAAGAAGTGCAATGTACCCTAATTGGTGTTGTACAACCATCACTTTAGTGCACTGGAGCCTGTAATGTTGACAATATCTTCGCTTCTTTATCGAAAGAAGACACGTCACATCCACAAGTCATTCCTCGAAAGTTATGTAGGACTTTTTTGTTCTAATGTTAGATATGACATTTTTTTGGGTCCATTGTTCAAAATATATCCAATGACACATGGTTAATAACATTTGATGGTATAAGCTGATGCATTTTTTATTTTCTAAACAATTTTATCTTTTTTAGTAAGAATTCTATTATTGGAATAAGTCTGGTATTATTTTTCTTTAAGTTGTGTATGCATGCATGCATTTTTTTGTTATTACTGTTAATTTGAATATGATCAGTTTTAATTCATCAATTTTCTCAAAAACATTATTTGGAAATTTCAACTTCAGGAAACAGTAAATCATAATAGTGATTGTTTATAAATTGTAATTATATAACTTTTTTTAAGAGTTTACTAACGTTTGCCAATAGGAGTTTTGTTACGGAATTAAAATATATATAATAGTTAAAAAAATGACGTAAAATTTGGATCTAGTTAACAATATATTAAGAACACTAATTAAAGTATTTTAAAATCATTTATTAACTAATTTAAATTATTTTAAAAAAAGTTAAAATATTAAATGTTTTCTATTTCATTTAATATTTTTTATTTATTCCATAAATATTGGAAGAATATTCGTTAGCAAATTTCTTAAACTATAAGCTATGTAATGAATTGAGAACCTTGAAAAAAATGTTACATTGTAGTTCTTTAAGTATTAATTTGATATTATATAATCAAAGGTATTAATTGCTTCTCCTTGGTTAACAACACTTTTTTGTTTTATTAGTTGTCTTTTTTGTCGGTAACCATATAATAGTTTCACAACTCTTACTCGTTTTAGGTATTTTTACGGGATTGTAATTTCTCATGTTGAACGAGAAATGCAAGTTTTTTTACAGAGAGAGAAAGGGGTTGGATCCTCCTTAAAGAAAAAAATAAAAAATAGAAAAGTGATCGGTACAAACATCGAAGTGAGAGTGATAGAAGAAGAGATTTATCTTGCAACATAGAGAAATCTTTTTCCCATTTTTTAATAGTATTAAAGGAAAAAAAAAAATGTTTCTCCCCTAGCTAAAAGTATCTCTTACATTCCCAAAATAAAATTAGTTTTAAAATAAAAATATTTTAAAAATTTCAATTTTCTATTTTAATAAATATTTCACTAAAATTGTAATTATGAGATAAATTTATTTCTCGTTACATGTAAAATCAATACTTTTAAAAATAAAAGCGATTGGACTTGGGGATGGTATCGGTTTTCGTGACCCTGACCCTTATAAGCAAGCAAACCCCATCATCTTTGTTTCAGTGTCTCAACATAAGAAGGACTTGTGACTCACAGAAAGAGGCAAAGAAGAAGAAGAAGAAGAAAGAGAGAGAGAGAGAGATGGAGTGGTGTGTTTCAATGCCAAAGGTTGAACTGCATGCTCACCTCAATGGATCCATCAGTGACTCCACACTCCTGTAACAGCTTTTCTTTTTACCAATCCCCCATCACCCTTAAAAAAAATTTCCTTTTTTTTTTTCCCTCTGTCTTCAGGATGCACAACCTCAACTTTATTATTATTATCATTATTTTGATTATTGTTATTATTATTATTATTATTATTATTATTATTATTATGATATATATATATTTTTTCACAGAGAACTTGCCAAGGCTGCGGGTGAAAAGGGTCTTATAAATTTCTCCGAAGTGGAGCATGTCATCCTTAAATGTATGTCTTTCTTGTTTATTCTCCTGTTTTGTTGCCGAGAAAAAGCTGGAAAAGACATGACTTCTAATATATATATATATATATATATATATATATATATATATATATATATTTGTTTGGTTGTTTACCCTGTCTTTCAATGTGCTCCCTTTTTATGTGGTGTAGCTTTGGTTGATATCGATTTTGAACTTGTGGTGAGGTTTGATTGTTATACATATGTGTAAGCCTTTGTGTTCCGTGGTTTGTTTTCGATTGTTAATGAAAGGGAGGGCATAACAATAGGATAAACAAAGTCATAGAACCTTACATGAATTGGAATTTGATTTTAGGAACATCAAGGAGTTGCTTTGACATGACTACTCAGTTGCTTTCAAGATTTTTTTTTGCTTTTTTTTTTTTTTTTGGGTAAACTTTGTTTTTTTATTTAAATTTTAGACCAAACGGGTCTAAATCCGCTTCTGTTTATTCATATTTACCAGTATTTATGCTTAAAACTGATGTTGGTTTTGGCTTTGTAAATACAGATGATCGTTCAGTAACAGAAGTATTCCAGTTGTTTGACCTAATCCACATTCTTACAACTGATCACACCACTGTTACAAGAATTACGAAAGAAGTATAGCTGCTTGCTTACTATATGAATTTTGTTATTGAGGAATAAAATTCATTGCCTTTTTATTTGCAAAAGTGTATTAATACCTAAAAGCAGGTCGTTGAGGGTTTTGCATCAGAGAATGTTGTCTATCTGGAGTTGAGAACTACTCCAAAGGTAATTAAAGAGCTCAGTTGGTAATTCAGATTGTTCTTATTTCCATTGAGTTGAAATAGAGGTTGATAATTGATTTGATGAAGAAAATGTTTGCTTAATTCCATTCAGAGAAATGATTCCGAAGGAATGAGCAAACGCTCTTATGTTGAAGCTGTACTGAAGGGTCTAAGATCAGTCAGTTCAGTTGACGTGGCTTTCATTCCACATAGTGAGGATTTTAGAAGTCTTTTTAATCCTCTACCTACGATTTCAAATGATAAATGTAATGGAAATTCTAGAAAAAGAATCTTTGTTAGGCTTCTCTTGAGCATTGACCGTAGGGAGACAACAGAAGCAGCAATGGAAACTGTAAGCTAAAATGTGCAAGTAATTTGAGAAACTTAAGTTTGTTGGGTGTTGCCTTTGAACACTTCATTTCTTTCCTGCAGGTCAAGCTTGCACTGGAAATGAGGCAATTTGGGGTAGTTGGAATTGATCTCTCTGGAAATCCAAATGTTGGTGAATGGTAATCAATGTGATCTTGGACTCTAGTATAATAATGCATTTTAAATTTTGAAAATTAATGCTTATGCCCAAAACCCCTTTTTAACTTTTGTAGGACTACATTTTTGCCAGCATTGAAATTTGCTAAAGAACAAGGTCTTTATGTAACACTTCACTGCGGAGAGGTGGGTTAATATTTAGCTCTTACCTGTTACTTTTGGAGTTTCCCTCACTGCTTTATTTTTCCGACCTAGTGTTTTTAGGTACCTAATTCAAAGGAGATACATGATATGCTTGACTTTCATCCTCAAAGGGTTGGACATGCTTGTTACTTTGAGGATGATCACTGGAGAAGGCTGAAGTCCTCTAACATTCCGGTTAGACTTTTGCAAGCCCTTTGGTTATATTAATGTTAAAGTAAGATAGTGCAAGTAAATTATGATTTGTATGGGAACTCAAAAGGAGATTTCATATATGAATATGAATTTAATTGTCACATCTTAGAAGTTCCTCATAGACAATTAATCAACTAAAAGGTAATGCATAATTTTCAAATCTTTTCTGTCAAATTTAAAGTCTGAGTTGAACTGGAATGAATGAAACATTGTGTTTGCTTCTTTTTACTTATCAACCCTTTAGGGCTTCTGATTGTTGCTAAGAATATTTTCACTTTGTAATTTATAGCCAGATAAGTTACTTATTATTTATTTCTTCTTCACTATTTCCAGGTTGAAATTTGTTTGACATCAAACGTTAGTACATTGTCCGTTCCATCTATGGATGTTCACCATTTTGGTAGGTGCTCTTGCCTATAGTTGAAGTTGATGATCATAAATATAGAATCAATGAAGGAACTGTTTTGTTTAACTTGACAAAACTGAGGCTGTAGGCTTGAAAGTGATTCTGGGTTTTGACTAGCTTCATTTTTTTCTTGTTGGAAAAAGTTTTTTTTTTTCCGCATTAATAAAAGAAATTTTTTTTGGAGAAGGTAGAAGCTTTAACTTTTAAAAAAGTATTTTTTAAAAGAAAACTGTTTTCAGCTTCTTCTTCTAAAAGCCCCCCCTGTTGAAGTTAGCTTTCCTAAAAGTTCTTAGTACTACATGAAATGATCTTATATTTTGCAAGTGGAATGCTATCCTTTCTGAAGTCATTCCATATAGTTTGCATATAGACTTTTATCAGGGGATCAGCTTCAAGAAGTATCCTCACATAACATCATGCTCTTGCTGATGCAGCTAATTTGTATAAATCAAAACACCCTTTGGTCCTCTGTACTGATGATTCGGGTGTATTCTCTACCTGTCTCTCCAAGGAATACAAAATTGCTGCTGATTCATTTGGTATTTTTCACTTAACTCTTTGCAGCCAGTGAAATTTAAATTAACTGATTAGGTTTTGTTGACTGCATGCATGTTTGGCTATATTATCTAGGGCTGGGAAGGAGGGAAATGTTTGAGCTATCAAGGAATGCTGTCGAGTTTATATTTGCAGATTGTGGAGTAAAGGAGGATTTAAGAATTTTTTTTAATTCAGTGGCAAAGAATATGGAAATGTAGGTACAATTTCTTCTCAATGTTTAGTTCTTTTTTTTTTTGGTGAAAATGTTTAGTTCTTATTACTTGTGACAGGTATCACAATGATGGACACAAGTTATAGCTATATTAGATATTAGAGATTAAATAACAATCCTGGCTGGGGTTAGCTCCTTATCCGAGATTGAAGTTGGTCCTTGGTCATATTCTTCATTCAAGTGATTCTTCAAAGTTTCAGTTGATTTGCCATGCCACTGCTTATTGAAGATGGTCAACTCATTAGGTTTATGTTTATTTAGTGACAACTTTTGCTAATAATGCTGCTATTAGCCACTTTTAAATTTGACCACTTCAGGTCAGATGCTGGCAATGAACTTGTCCATTATGCCATCTCAGGGATATCATGGATGGGATTAGGTTGATTTTGGGTAAAATAAAATTGAACTCGTTAAATTTAAACAGAGTTGTGCTTAGTTTTTTTTTTTTTAAAAAAAAATAAATCCGAACCAACTTAACTTAATTGTGCTCGGTTGTTTATGAACATTGGATTAATTTGAGTTCGGTTAAATTGAAAAAAAAATAACTTAGGCTATCAAATTCAATTAATATTTTAAAGTAACGGGGAATATTTTTACTACTAAAAAAATTTATTATCAACCTATTACTTATTTAATCATCATTGGATCGGAGATAGAATGCTGAAAAGTTTCTTAAGAGAGAGAAAATGTTAATTCAATGGTGATTAAATAAGTAGTAGATTAGTAGTGAATTTTTTTTTATAATAAGAATATTTTTCTCTTTTTAGATACATCAAACATCGGGTATGGTTTTGTGTGCATTAATTAGGCAATCAATTCGTTCGCATGTTGAGCACTGCTTGAGATCTGGGCTTCTGAATCGCTTGGGCTTTTTCTATTGGAAGTCCAGTACTGTCTTTTCTATTATAAAATTTTAGGGTAACATTGTAACCCCAAAAAAAATGGGAGTAATATGGTTGAATTACACGTGTACGTGGTTGTTCACTTCAATAATTATGCATGCAGTCTTCCGTCACAAATAGAAGCTTGTGTTCGAATGTTAAAAAATGGGAAAAGGACAATCCTGAAATAAACCTCATTTTTTGGGGAATTCTACTCGAAAAAGAGAGCTACTTTTGTATTTAAGAATTTTAACAATGAAGGAGGGTTAATGATTTTGATGACTTGAAAATAGGGGCCACCCTTGGGGAATTGGGTTGTCAAAAATTATAAGCATGCATGAGCAAAGAAAAAAGACCCGATGAAGAAGTTGAAGAAAGTAAAATATGAGAAATTTAAATGGTCTAATAGAAATACCTAGTACCGACATGTTTATCTCACTGGGTATATGCATCTACTTAATTGCAATTTAGTAATCCATCTGCAATATTCGTATCCAATATATATAGCAAGTACAAGTCATACTCTATTAGTGCTAGGCTAGTGGATTACTTGTGTACTATCTTCATCTAATCTTGTGTGCAAAGGTGATTCACTTTGACTGTATACTTTTCTTACACGACTTTACAATCATAATTTATATTTAAAACACTTGAAAACAGATTGCCGACAAAAAAATTTAAAACACTTAAAAAACAATTCAGTTTTTTGGGAGGCTGAAATAAAATTTGAATAACATGTATTAATCTATCCACTTGATGGAGTGGGCTTATTAAACCATGAATACCGCAGGGATTGATCCTAGGAAGCCCTACCTCCACAACAAGTGCTATTTCTGGAAGCCTTGAGTAATTTTGAGCGGAAAATATGAAAAATGAATATACAGGATTATTTGACACCTCATTTGAAGATTCTTAGATCAATGCAAACTCTTTTGACCTCATTTGAGGTGGACGAAGATAAATATATCTCAAACTGTTTGAGAAATATTTTTTTCATATATATATATATATATATATATATATATATATATATTCCTTGTATATTGCTTCAAAATTAAAAAAGAAAAAGGCATATACCTATTTTACTCTTCTTTCATTCGAGGCCCAAAATATTTCGGCGTCTTTTTTTCTTTCTTTTGCTAATTTTTATGCATATTGAAGGTAACGTACGTAAATTGACACCTATCCTTTATTTAATGAATTTTTGCCGTCATGGTACAGCTACTCCTACCTAATGAGTTCTATCATGCGCGTATGGTGACAATAAGAAAAGTATATATAATATCTCGAAAAAAAATAAAAAATAAAAGATTCATATTAAATCATTTTATAGCATGTTTTGCCTTCATTTAGAAAAATTATATGAAGGTAATCGAAGTCTTCACTTGAAAGAAAAGATTAACTTTTCAAACAATGCAATTTCGTATTGAAAATTATGACAGTCAAAACTGCTTAAAATTATTGAACACAACCACAATAGTACCAAATCAATACATAATTGATTAAATGATACATTAAAGATGAAGTATTGAATATGAGGTTCCTATCTAATTTGCACCATTGTCGGCAGGGTGGTGGCCACTGGCTAGTGGCCTTGGCCTCTTCCTTCAAATGTAATTTTGAAATTAAATCCAAATCAAAACACAATTGCATAGGTTCAATATTTGCAACCTTGTAAATTTAGTTTTCAGAAAGAATATAAAAACTGAAAGAAAAAATTATGCTGTTTATAAATAAACAGCTCATATTAATTTATTTATATTGAACACAAAATGACATCGTTTTGAAACGAAAATCAAGTTATTTTATAATTATAATTTATTTCAGGATTATAATAATCTTTTTTATTATAATTTTTTAATTAAAAATGACATCATTTTTATCTACATTAATCGTAGAAACATTAAATCTTTTTAATAACATCTCTAATTAAAACTACACTTATACACATTGTGATAATCGTGGCACGAGAACGAACTCCTAAAATTAATTTGTAATTAATGATCTGATTTGAACCGCATTAACTAAATATGAGGACGTGATCTTTCACCTTTTTAAATTTCTTATGACAAATAAAAACGACGCCGCCGTCTGGCTCAGACAAAAACGACACGCGTTCGGCTTCTTCTTCTCCCTCCCTTTTTTTCAGTTTTCACCATCTGCAGCAATTTTCCGTTCACAACCTTTCAGCGACAATGTCTTGGGGCTTGGGGTGGAAGAGGCCCTCCGAGATCTTCCATCTAGCTCTCAACTACGGCACCGACGATCCGCCGGAAACGTTTGACCGCAAGTCAAAGTCGTCGTCGGTGCTCTCGCAGGAGCAGGAGCTTGGTTTTCGCATTGAATTGGACTGGTCGGCGTCGGAGGATGAGGATCAGGTGGCGCTGAAGCTTCAGTCGCAGCTCATGGTGGCTCTGCCGATGCCGCAGGACACCGTCGAGGTGGAACTCAGGCCCGATGATGGTGAGGAGAGTGTGGATTTGGACATGAAGGTTGTTAAGAGAAGGGAGCCTCTCAGGACTGTCACGTTGACCAAGACTGTAGTCTCCGGGCAACAGAGTGATGGAACCGGAGTTTTCATTCGCCTGTTGCGCTCCAATTTGGCTTCCGCCGCGCCGCCACCGGTTGCTGCTAGCTGCGGTGACCATTGGAAAAGTGTTTCCGTGCTTAGACTCTGCGGATGTGGTTTGTCGGTGAGTCTCGTTAGCTTTTTGTTCTATTCAATCTGTCTGAATTTATTCTTTTTTATGTTTGAGAAGCTTTTTGTGGTTTTTTGGTTGTTGTTATATTGTCTTGAATTAAGAACTTTAGAATCCCAGAGTGGAGGATTGCTTTATGGTGATTGGTGTTATAACTTTTGCCAAGTGAATTTTGTGAATCTGCTGGTTGTTAATGTTGATGTGGTATGGACTATTGGAGTATAATTTCCGATTGGAAGGAATTAGTTACACATGTTTCTGGAGTAACGTATGGAAGATTTTTAATTTCGTGGTTAAGTTTGTTTTCCTTGAGTTTCTCGGTGTTCAAGAACAGGGGGGTCTTTGATTTTTATGGTTGGAATTCTCACTCGATTGAGGTCAATCAGGGATGTTTAAAATTTGATGTTTATGGACAGGTATTTCCTGTAGAGCTTACTCAATTGCCTAGTCTTGAAAAACTTTATCTTGATAACAACAAACTGACGGTTTTGCCGCCTGAGCTTGGTAAGCTGAGAAACTTAAGAGTGCTCAGAGTTGACAACAACATGCTTAACTCGGTGCCTGGTATGCTTTTCATATCTGCATTATCACTGTGTAGGGATGGTAGTAAATTACCAATTTATGTGTACCTAGCAGAAGGGGAAGTAATTTATAAATATAATAGGTATACCACGTAAACATGAGTAGACAACACCACCTTAAAGTAACAAAACACACTAATGCTTGATAATTAAAGGCTTCCCACTACATATAAATAGGGAAAGTAAGTGCAATGCCACACTAGCTGCAACAGTGCATTAAGGAAGCTCATGTGGATTTGGGGAGCACATTTGGTGTCCATGCCTGTGGTATTCAGATGTTTCCTCAAGTAACTGAGTTATTCTGATTGATGTAGTATCTGATGTTTAGTTTTTTGAGCAGTGGAACTGAGACAGTGTGTTCAATTGGTGGAATTGTCATTGGAACACAACAAGCTTGTTCGGCCTCTCCTTGATTTCAGGTCATTAGATCCTACAATTTAATATAAACTAGTTTAGACTTCATATTCTCTTGCCTTACGAATATCTGTATTTATGACAGGGCTATGGCTGAACTACTGGTTCTTAGGCTATTTGGAAATCCTCTCGAGTTTCTACCTGAAATTTTGCCCCTCCTCAAACTTCACCACCTTTCTCTTGCAAATATCAGGATCGTGGCAGATGAAAATTTGAGATCAGTGAATGTACAAATAGAGGTAGCATCTCCTTAAACTAACTTGACTGCTTTTTTTTACTTATTCTTTTAAAACTGTTACATTTTCAGTCAAATGTACTTTTTATGGTCATTGCAGATGGAAAACAGTCCTTTATTTGGTGCATCTAGGCATAAGCTTAGTGCCTTCTTCTCTCTCATATTCCGTTTTTCTTCTTGTCATCACCCTTTACTAGCATCTGCACTTGCAAAGATAATGCAAGACCAAGGAAATAGAGTGGTTGTTGGTAAAGATGAGAATGCAGTGCGGCAGCTTATAAGCATGATAAGTAGTGACGACCGCCATGTGGTATGTTTTAATGGTTCTGGACATCTCAAGATTTTTATTAGTTCTGCAATCTTCCGTGGATGTGACCATTTTTACTATTTGACAGGTTAAACAAGCCTGCTCTGCTCTTTCAGCTCTTGCCTCTGATGTTTCTGTCTCACTGCAGCTGATCAAAGCAGATATCATGCAACCCATTGGAACAGCTCTGAAATCTATGGATAGGGAAGAGGTAATATCTTTATTGCATGTTGTGGTGCAGATGGCTTTTACATCTGATACCGTAGCCGAGAAGATGTTGAACAAGGATATTTTGAAATCATTGAAAAATTTATGTGCCCATAAAGATCCAGAGGCAAGTTTGTTTGTTTCTTTTCATACTTAATGGTTTTATTGATTCCTTTCAGGGTCTTTTAGTTTTAATGTTTATATTTTTATAGGTACAAAGGCTAGCTCTGTTAGCTGTTGGGAATTTAGCCTTCTGTCTGGAGAATCGTCGTATACTTGTTACTTCTGAAAGTTTGCGAGAACTTCTCTTACGCCTGACTGTTACAACTGAGCCACTTGTTTGTAAAGCTGCAGCTCGTGCTTTGGCAATTCTTGGTCTGTCTCTGTATATAATATTTTTGTATTTTCCAGAATGTTTTACCTAAGTGAGTCCTGAGCAGGCTTCTTCACTTTTTTGCTTTTGTAGGAGAAAATGAAAACCTGCGGCGTGCAATACGAGGGAGACAAGTGCCAAAGCAAGGACTTCGCATACTCTCAATGGATGGAGGTGGGATGAAAGGTCTAGCAACTGTGAAAATGCTAAAGGAAATTGAAAAGGGAACTGGAAAACGAATACATGAATTGTTTGATTTAATATGCGGCACATCAACGGGTGGAATGCTAGCTGTTGAGCTTGGGATTAAGTTATTGAATTTGGAAAAATGTGAAGATATATACAAAAATCTTGGTGAGGATGCTGCCTAGGAATGACATGGACTATTTTTATTATTGATCTGTTAATATGACTAGCAATTGTAGATAAAATATTGATTTGCATTTTGAATCAGGGAAGCTTGTTTTTGCTAAGCCTCTGCCGAAAGACAATGAAGCTGCTACTTGGAGAGAGAAGATAGATCAAATTTATAAGAGTTCATCACAGAATTTTAGAGTTGTTGTTCATGGATCAAAAGTATGTACCTCTTTCCTTGATGCTGCTGTATTCACAAAGTATGCTCTTTTATCACTTCTCAATTTCCTCTCAATGCTTTTTCATAGAAGCATGTATTTTGTGAAATTCTGAGAGGACATGAGATACCTAAACAATATTAATTGTTTTCCCAATATGATAGACATTTGAAGACAGAGAGGGCATAATGTGTTCTTTCAACTAAAGCTAGCTACTATTTGAATAGCTACATCTATAATCTATGTAGTCTTTTATGCACTAGCTCAGAAGGTCTCAATACAGAATGATCAAGTGTCCCCCCTTACAATTAATCCCCTCTATTCATATGGACTGACCCCTTACAGAATAAGTCAACGCTCCCTAAAAGAATTCTAACTAACTTGCTACCGTATTCCTAAGAATTATATTCCTCCTAGTATATACCCTTCCATGTAGAGGGTTGACCTAACATAGTCCTATGCCCTAAAATGAGAATTATGACTCTTGCTTGCAGCACAGTGCAGATCAGTTTGAGAGCCTTTTGAAGGAAATGTGTGCTGATGAGGATGGGGATCTAATGATAGATTCTGCTGTAAAAAATGTTCCTAAAGTTTTTGTTGTATCAACCTTGGTGAGTGTCATGCCAGCACAGCCCTTCATATTCCGCAATTATCAGGTGGGAGGCCAATATATTTTATGGTATTTGTATTCACAATATTTCTGAGTGGGCATAAAATCACTAATGTTCGTGGCTGCTAATGTATTATTTATGGGAGTCACTTTGGTACCCATCCTTTTTGCGAGGTTACCAGATCCTGGGGTGAGTTAAAATTTATTACCTGTTGATCATATTTAATGAATTTTCAAACATATATGGTACTGCTACTGCCAGCCACCAGCAACCAACAAATGTTTGACAACTCACCTTGTGGACAGTATCCTTATGGGTACCTTAGTAACTCCAATTTGTTACTAATATTTCTTTCTGCCACTCTCTTTACTTTTGCTATTTGAATGCAGTACCCTGCTGGAACACCAGAGGTGGCTCTTGCAACATCAGAAAGTTCAGGGATCACTGTATTAACTTCATCTACAGCAGGTGCACCAATTGGCTTTAAGCACAGTGCTTTCATTGGAAGTTGTAAGCATCTAGTGTGGCAGGCTATCAGAGCTTCATCTGCTGCTCCTTATTATCTTGATGATTTCTCCGATGGTACTAACATCACTGCTTTTGTTTGCATCAAGTTTGTTGAATTTAAGTTTTAATTTTTGAATCATTCCCCCTTTTCTACGATGTTTGTGAATTTTATATCTTTCAATCTTGCAACATGCCTTAAGATATCAATCGCTGGCAAGATGGTGCAATAGTGGCAAACAATCCAACAATTTTTGCCATAAGAGAAGCTCAACTTCTGTGGCCTGACACGAAAATTGATTGCCTGGTTTCATTAGGGTGTGGTTCCACTCCAACAAGGGTAACTGCTCTTCTCTGTTTTAGTTCCACATTTTATTATGTATTTGGGGAAAAAAAAGGGTAAGGTCTTTGATGATTATTCTAATGTTACACTTGATAGTGTGGTTTGGTCAGTGTGTAACATTAGAAAGAATATGATTAGTAATTTTGACTCTAGGAGATATATGATTGGCTATTTAAGTACTTCGGTTTATGATACAACTGGATCAATAATAATGAATGTAAAGAATCAATTCAACCCAAAAACTTAAGCTATTAAGTGAAGGCCCATTAATGGTTTATATACTTCTCTAACACGCTCACTCACAAGAGAGCCCATTGGGCTTGCAAGGTGGATGATGCATCAGGCCAAGCCTACTTGTGCTAAGAAATTCCACACAAAAGATGGGGGCGGCGAGGATTGAACTCGGGACACGAGGCTCTGATACCATGTAAAGAACTAATTCAACCCAAAAGCTTAAGCTTTTGGGTTGAATTGGTTCTTTCCATTAAAAAGCTCAATAGACTCTCTTGTGAAGAGGCATGTTAGAATAATATATAAATCATCGATAGGCCTTCACTTAATAGCTTAAGCTTTTGGGTTGAATTGGTTCTTTGCATGGTATTAGAGCCTCGGTGTCTTGGGTTCGAACCTCGCCGCCCCCTATTTTCTTTGTGGAATTTCTTAGCACAAGTAGGCTGGGCCTGATGCATCATTCACCTTTTAAACCCAATGGGCTCTCTTGTGAGCTATGAAGCATCGATACTCCTTAAATTTTTTTCCAACATATCTGATACGCATATCGGAACGTATTGGTATCGTATCGAAAACGCCGTATCGGAATCGATGCTTCATAGCTTGTGAGGGGGCGTGTTAGAGATATATAAACCATTGATGGGCCTTCACTTTTTAGCTTAAGTTTTTGGGTTGTATTGGTTCTTTACATGGTATCAGAGCCTCGGTGTCTCGAGTTCGATTCTCGTCATCCTCCATTTTCTTTGTGGAATTTCTTAGCACAGGTAGGCTGGGCCTGATGCATCATCCACCTTTCAAGCCCAATGGGCTCTCTTGTGAGGGGGCGTGTTAAAAATAATATAAACCATTAAAAAGGCCCTCACCCAACAACTTAAGCTTTTGGGTTGAATTGGTTCTTTACATGGTATCAGAGCCTCGTGTCCCGAGTTCAATCCTCACCCAACAGGAAAGTTTTTTGGCCCAGAAAGGTGGTTTCTGGATTTTCTGTATGTAGACTAAACTGAGTTACAAGAAATAGAGCAACCCAATGAAGAAGTAAATTATCAAAATGGGTTATACCAAGCTACTTATCAGGAAAGAGAAAAATAAAGCTCAACCGAATTTGAGGTGTTGATCTCTCCAGTCCTAAGTCCCAAAATCCAGTCTGCCTAATCGTCAGCTTCCTCTCCTTCATATACCCTCCTCAACTAACTTCCAAGTCACCAGCCCCTTCCCTCTCTCTTCTAATAGAATTGCCCTCCAAAACTCCATCCAGAATATTCTTTGCACCTGTTGAGTCAGCATGACCAAATACTCCTCTAAAACTCTTCCTACAATAAACCTTAATAGGAGTTGTATCGGTTTACTATATACTTTATGAGTTCATTTTTTCTAAAGTTACTTTAAATAACTTTGTCTAATGTTCACTAAAACGACGTCGTTTTGGGACGAAAATCATGGCGTGTTTGTAATTTTAATTTATTTCAAGGTTATAATAGTCTTTATTATTCTAATTTTTTAACCCCAAAACGACGTCGTTACGGTGAACATTAGACAAAGTTATCTAAAGTAACATTAGATACTTTTTTCCCATACTTTATTATCATACTTATATGTTTTGTAGGTGCGAAAGGGGGGTTGGCGGTATCTGGATACAGGGCAGGTGTTGATTGAGAGTGCATGCTCTGTTGACCGGGTGGAGGAAGCTTTAAGTACACTGCTACCTATGCTTCCTGAGATACAATATTTTCGTTTCAATCCTGGTACTATGCTTGTGTTTTGGAGTGAGGAAATGGAAGAATCGTTCTTTTTTTCTCCTACTAATTCTATTTGAATCAAGTTTCAATGATACTTTTCTCTTCAAATTTTATCTTCCTTTCTGTTTCTTGTTTGATAGGGTAGTATCATTAAAGGATAGCTATTCTTGGAATAACTTTAAATTCTCAGTGTTCCCTGTGCTTTGCCTTGCAGTTGATGAACGTTGTGATATGGAACTTGATGAGACTGATCCAACTATCTGGCTGAAGTTGGAATCTGCAGTTGATGAATATATTCAAAAGAATCATCAGGCATTTGAAAATGTTTGTGAGAGATTGCTTCTGCCTTTCCAGCATGAAGAGAAGTGGTCAGAGAATCTAAGATCTAAAGTAACCAAGACAGAGGGATCAAATGAGGGTATTGCAGCTGATATGTTTTCTATATCCTGTAAAATTTCACTACTGGTTATCCCTAATTTTAAAAATTAAGATTCTTTTTATTCTGCGACATCAGATGCTTGTGGCCCCACTTTAGGGTGGAGGCGTAATGTACTACTCGTGGAAGCTTTACATAATCCCCATTCTGGAAGAGCAAAGCACCATGTCCTGGAGCTTGAGTCATTTTGTGCTCGGACTGGGATACGATTGTCTCTCATGCAGGGTTTGTCTGGGACTGTAAGAACAGTGCCAGCTTCAACAGTCCCGACTCCATTTGCATCGCCTCTATTTACAGGAAGCTTTCCATCAAGTCCAGATTTTGGTCATAGGATTGGACGAATTGATCTGGTTCCACCTTTAAGTTTAGATGGCCAGTTGGGAAAGATAAATGCATCGCCTCCGGTGTCTCCCCGAGGACATAGACAGCTTTCTTTGCCTGTCAGATCATTGCATGAAAAATTGCAGAATTCACCACAATTGGGTGTTATACATTTGGCCCTTCAAAATGACTCAGATGGCTTAATTGTGAGGTATTTGCTCCTTTGTTTTCTGAATGCCGTTTCATTGTCCCCTATTTTCCACCCCCACCCCCTTTCTCTCTCTCCAATTTGGATAGAAGCATGATGTTGGTGGCTATTTACTTAGTTGGCACAATGATGTATTCGTGGTGGCTGAACCTGGTGAGCTTGCTGAGAAATTTCTGCAAAGTGTTAAATTCAGCTTATTGTCAACAATGAGGAGCCATCGTAGAAAGGGTGCATCTGTAATGGCCAATATGTCTACCATATCTGATTTGGTCGCCTTTAAACCTTATTTCCAAATTGGAGGCATTGTCCACCGATACCTAGGCCGTCAAACCTTAGTATGTCTTCTTCCCTTTGTGCTTCTTCACAACTTTCTGAAATCAAATTAACAGATCTATTACAAAGCTGGCCTTAATTTGGTTATCGTTTTTGAAGGTTATGGAAGATGATCAAGAAATTGGCTCCTATATGTTCCGTAGGACAGTCCCCTCTATGCACTTATCTCATGATGATGTTCGATGGATGGTATTTGATTTGCTCCCAATTGATTTACATTGAGTTTCACTCGAATTTTCTGATCTGACTTATTTGCTGCTACTCAATGCTGACTTTCATCATCTGGTTTGGTGTTTTGAAATATTTGAATGAGGGTTGGGTGTTAATCACTTGATCATGCAGGATCATTTTCATACTCTGCAAACAGTTAGGATGTATTTCTGTGTATGATTGTTGCAATGTATTGCACCAAGTCCACTGTTTAATGGCATGATTTGTCTCATTCTCGCTAGCTTGATTCATTCTTCCTGGATTCTTTTAACAGCTTACTAACAGGGATGCCTTACATGGGTCTGTATAGGGATGGGACTTCAAAGCTCTAGACCATTTGAAGTATTATTTTTAGTAGTATGTAATCCATACCGGAATTTGGATTACAATTATTTTGTGATCCTACCCCTGGCTGATTTTGTAAAGCATCTGGAATGTTTGTGTATAGTAGGATTTTAAGATCATCTACTACTATCATTACGACAATTATGGTGTCTGTTTTAGTCCATCCTTTTTTTTTGGGGGGGAATGTGGGGATAAACCTTTGATCTTTTAATTCTTAAACATTCTTTGTTTCTATCATAATCAAGCTTTCCATTTTTACGTTTTCTTATGTAGAAGAGTTCGTTTCCTATCTCTTGTGCAACCCATTTTTATTTTTATTTTTTTGGGAGGAGGGGTGAGTTTGCAACGGAAATGTTCTGACTAGTTTCTGTTTTGCTCCTGTATTGATGTCTTGAATAACCTAGGTAGGAGCCTGGAGAGACAGGATCATTATATGCACAGGGAGATATGGACCCACTCCAGCTCTTATTAAGGCCTTTCTAGACTGTGGGGCCAAAGCTGTCGTCTGCCCTTCAAATGAACCCCCAGAGTCGCAGTTGACTACCTTTGATGGTACCGGGGAATTGAATGTGATGGAAAATGGGAAGTTTGAAATTGGAGAGGATGAAGAAGCAGATGATGAGATTACTCCTGATAGTCCATTAAGTGACTGGGAAGATATTGACGCTGAGAAAAATGGGAACCACACTTTGTCATTTTGGGATGATGACGATGAAGAGGAATTGTCTCAATTTGTCTGTCAGTTGTATGATTCATTGTTTAGGGAGGGTGCTAGTGTCAATCATGCTCTGCAGCATGCTCTTGCTTCACATCGGAGATTAGGGTACGTGTGCCATCTTCCCTGCAAGCAATAATGTATTCACTTTATCTTACACAAATACAAGGAAGGGAAATCTTGGTACCGCGGTTGCTAATCAACCGCTATAAATGCAAAGTAACAGTGTTTAATATAGACCTTTCTTTTGATGTTGGGTATAGTGGGAGCTTTATGGTCATAGCACCAGGCTTCCTTTTGTATTTTACACAAATACAACACAAAGGAAAGAGAGAAAAGAAACAGACTATACAGAGAGAGAGAAAGGAGGAGGAGGAGGAGGAGGGGGCGCTCTACATACCAAATAATAATAATAATAATAATAATTTCAATTATGAGGCTGGAGGTCTTTTTATCATAAACTTGGCAATGGCAAGCTTGTGTCTCGGCTTGAAAGGGAGATTCTGATCCCTCTCCCACATTAAGGCAAGATCATTTATCTCATCTTCACAACCGTATAGATGGCCTTGTACTATAGACTGTAAAGTTAAGTGTATTCTGAATTAGATGCATCGGAAATTGCTCTCTTATCATTTGTATTTTATGATTATTATACTAGCTTAATTTTTGTTCTGAAAATTAACACCATGCTTTTATATTTGTAAAAACTTGAAAACTTGATGACAAAATAACTCAAGGCCGATGAAATAAATTAGTCATTCTTTTTTTCTTTTTTTGTTAGGAAATACTTGTGTACATGATCATGGGTTTGACAATGTTGGAATCGGATTAGTAGGGTAATTTATGCACCTGTTGATATATATATATATATATATATATATATATATATATATATATATAATTGAGTTATTATATAATTTAAAAACAAGTGGACATTTTTTTTAAAAAAATTTGAATTAGAACAAATATACTTAATTTTATAAGTTACAGAGAATGTACATTAACATCAACAAAATAAGGATGGCAACACGCATTTTAAAAAAAAAAAAAAAAAAAACTGAAAATAGTCTCTGTTTATCACAGCTCCTGCGAAAATATGTTCTACGTTTGTATTTTCCCTCCAGAATCAAATCTATTGCTGATATCAAGAAGAAGAAAAGTAAGATAAAGAAAGGGTAATAACAAGACCAATGACTATTAAATTACTGGCTGATTAAATACGATTTGAGTCACCAGGTTAAGCGAATGTGCACAAAGTTGGTCTTTTATGCAACGTAATACGTCGTTTCATTTCAAATATAAAAAAGAGTACATAATAATTTGAAGGAAAAAAAAAAGTCAATATCTCCACTGTAAACACGACAATCAGCAAACAGATAACAATAGAACCCATGCCGAAAAAGCACCATAACAACGAAAAATCACATCTCTTCAACCGCCAAAAAGAAGAAAAAAAAAAAAAAGATCACCCCTCTTTCCACTAGCCAAGGCATGAAAGGCGGAGATTAACTTTGACCTGACAGATAAAAGAAAAAATTGAACCATTGAGCGCCGTAGAAATTTCAAATTTGTAAGATTTTCATATGACATGTACCATGACCAATAAAATTGCTAGTTACCACTTACAAGTATGCATAAGAAGTTTTTGGTTATGAATTGCCACTCACAATCCATTCAATATTAAACGTGTTCTTTGAGATCCATATTAAGAATGCACCAATCTCTTAAGTAATGTCTCTATATATGTTAACTATTGAATGAAGTGTCTAAAATGATATGGATAAGTTGTGCCTACTTAAGCATTTCTCAAGAATACGATGATAATGTCAAAAGTATACAATATTATGTCCGGAAAACAAGGTAGTTTTTATTGCAGACACAGGGAGGATATGATGATCATTTCCACTTTTTAAAGTTTAAATTATGGGAAATTTCATGCTTTTACTTTTCATAAAGCAATTTAGCATCTACTATTTAATAAAGATAAAAAAAAAGTAGATGCTCAAAATTGAAAATTAAGTTAATAACCATGATCACATCTTTCTTCATCTAGAAGCCTCATTCAGTTTAACAGTAAATGTATGCACTATATAAAGAGTAGTGTTATAAGCACCACCCCAGCTGAAATGGCTGCTCCTGCTCCTGTTACCATAGGCACAAGGGGCACTATTGGATCTCTAGTGAGGAAGGAAATTGAATACTTCACCAAATTTGAGTTAGACAAACGAGGAAGTTCACAGAAACCTCAGCAGCACTTTGTGAACATGGACATGGTTTCTTTAGGCAGAAGCTTTTCCATATCCAGGTCCAGTTTCTGGTCCTTGCTTACATCAAGGAAGAGGAGGAAGCAAAGAGGAACAAGTGGATTCCTTCCAAAAATTTGTTTTGTTGCAGAAGTAGCTGAAAGCAATCAATTACACAGAATTCCTGGTTACAGCTACAGGATCCTCAAGAATGATATCAACAACTTTCAGCTCTAAGTGACTCTCTTTGAGTTTATTGAATTAGTCTGCTTTAGCATTTTGTAAGGGACCAAAACTTGCAGCATATTCATTTTGATTTTCATGTTGTGTTGCCAGACTTGGACAGCTTTTTTAATTTTATTTTTGGGCTCTTGTTATTTTTCATTTTCTCTGTCAGATCCTGTGTTCCATTTGCTTTTAGTACTGCTGGCATTTTAGATTTCAGATTCAATTTAAAATCAGTGTTCTACAGCAGATTTGAAACCAATGCAACCCGTTGAAGATATGGTGGAAGCCAAGGTAACTAATGATGTGATAGTAAATGAATGAATGACATGCTCAATGTATATTTATCGAATAACTTGTTTGTAATTGGGGAGTACACATTTAGATTTTTGGATTTTAGTATCAGATGTTCAAAGCTGAAATGAAATAGAAGCAGAAAACTCAGAAAAAAGTTTTTCTTTTTCTTTTTTATTTAAGAAAATCAGATGAATTAATAAAGGGGTCCTGATTTCAATCCCCAAAAAAAAAAAAAAAATGCATTACAGCCTAAAATTTAACTGTAGGACATTACACAAACAGAATTTCACCTAGCACGTTCATCTTTGTACTACAAATTTTTTTAGTGTGCTCTTCAAATTTTTCAGTGAATCCTAGTCTGTGTCTGGCCAATGAAGCTAGCTGACCTTTCAGATCCACATGAACTTGGAGCTCTAAAAGATTCAACATGCCCAGCACTTTTTATAGATTCACCAGCAATGTCTTGTTCTCCAGTTCTATGTGCTGATAGATGCGTAAGAGCCGTTACAACATCATCCATGAAAGGTCTTGTGTTAGCTTCTTCTTGTAGACACATTGCTGCCACTGCCAGAGCTTGAAATAGGCCCTTCACAGGGAACTGACCTTTAAGCAAAGGGTCAGCCATAAGAGTAAACTTGGTTCTGTCCTTAAACAAAGGTTGTGCCTGCCAAGTCATAAACAAGAACGGCCATAAGTTCCATGTTCCAAGACTATTTAACATTAATGCTCCTCAAACCACATAAACTTTTTAAGGGAAATAAATGATCAAAATGCTTATTGAAGTGGAAAAACTAAAAAGTATGCAACATACCCAATCAATCAAGTTTTGCTCTTCTGTAGCTCTTGAAGTGTCAATTACTCTCCTGCCTGAGATTATTTCCAAAAACACAACCCCAAAACTATAAATGTCTGCCTTTGTGCTTAGCTTACCCTTAGAAGCATACTCTGGTGCACAATAGCCTAAGGTCCCCATCACCCTTGTTGAGACAAAGTCCTGGCCTTCTCTTGGACCAATCTTAGCAAGTCCAAAATCAGATAGCTTTGCATTGAAATTTTCATCTAACAGTATATTAGAGGATTTAAAATCACGGAATATAACTGGTGGATCTGCACTATTATGAAGATAGTCAAGTCCTCTAGCTGCTCCCTCAGCTATTTTAATCCTTGTCTGCCAATCCAAAGGCTCCTTATCTGTACCTAAGTCTGAGATAAAAAATAAAATAAATTCTAGTGAGTGTTGCAAACTATAAATGTGTTGAAGTGCAAAATTAGAATTTTTTTGGCCATCATCATACCTAGAAGGTGATTTTCCAAACTCCCATTGGCCATGAATTCATAAACTAAAATCCTGTGATCTCCTTCAGCACAATAACCAACGAGCCTGACAAGGTTTGGATGTTTCACCATGCTTAACATCAAAACCTCTGCAATAAATTCTCGTGTTCCTTGTGCTCCTTGTCTGTTCAGTTGCTTCACAGCTACAGTCTGAACACCAAATATTTAACATTAGACTTTCACAACTTGTAAACATCTAAATATATTAGATAATATAATGCGTGTGTTATGTGTGTTTGAGAGAAGGAAAAAGATAGATATACCTGATCAAGACTTTTTATGTATCCTTTATAGACATTCCCGAATCCACCTTCACCCACAAGGCACTCAGGATTGAAGTTGTCTGTTGCATCAGCAACTTCTTCGTACATGAATACTTTAACATCATTTTTTGCAGTTCCATATTTTAGTATCTCATCATTAATTCGTCTATTCCTGCTACTACCTGCAATTTGAAACCATGTAAATCCACTCACATTTCCATTTGAAGCCAATGTTTCTCGTATGAAATTGTAAAGAACCAATTCAATCCAAAAGCTTAAATTATTGGGTTGAATTGGTGCTTTACATGGTATCAGAGGGTTCGATGTCACAGGTTCGATCACTGCCCCCAATTAATTAATAAATAATTAAGTCTTCTGGAGTTTCTTAGGACAAGTAGGTGAGTCTGTGCATTATCCACACTTAAAACCATTAATGTAGCCTCATCCAACAGCTTAAGAAGCTTTTGGGTTGAATTGATTTTTTTACAGAAATCTTATGTATTTTGCTCATATAATTTTGAAATTCATTAAACAAATTAAACATTCGTGTGTTCATATAATTTGGATTTTAACATCATTTAACAGTTTCCATATTTGATATTCATTAAACTAATGTGTATATCTCCAATGAAGCAAACCACACACCTGTTTTAAGTGACATAGCAGCAGCTAATGATTTGAATGTTGCCTTGCCTCTGGAAATTGTCCTTGTGCATGTTGTGAAAGAGGGTGTTTCAACGTCAGATTTGCAGCATGGGAAGCACCTCATTTTCTCAAGACTTGTTGGTACCTAGCTAGCTAGCTAGGCCTTTATTACAAAAATTCTGTAAGAAATTCTCAATCAACCTCAGAAAACAATTTGACTTGCACAAAGGCTAGAAGGGACAAAAATGAAATGGTGCGATATGTTTGAAAAACTTGAAACTGAAAAACTGTAAGACGTTGTGAAGGGTAAAACTGTTATGTATGTATTTATGAGGGAAATATGATTACTTATTTTAGTTTTGGGCAGCAAAATGGAATTCCCTTAACATAGTTAATCTTAGCTGGTTCTTTGACACGTAGAATGAAAAAGGAACTTACTTGCCTAGTTATCTTTTTCAAGGTAATTATGACATCAAGGATACCAAGTTGTTCTTACCATATTTTACACTTTTCTTTCACTTTGGAATAAGAAAAATGATGTGGACAACCTTTCTTACTCCTTTCTTGTCTTAAAGCTCCGTTGTAGTACTCCTCGGGCCTTATCGACTATAGAGAAATTTAGTAAAGTAGAAAATGAAGAATATGTTTGATGCAAATAAAGTAAATTCATTCTATTCTTAAACCTTGGTGATTATAGTATATTATAGGTATCTATTATTGGGATGTGATGCTGCGAAATGCAATGGAGGATTTGGTTTATTTATTTATTTTGATTTCTACGGTATATTCCATTATTTCTACACTTTTCAGATGTGAAATTTTGAGGTCGCATTATCTTCCCACAAGTGTTTTTTTTTTTTAATATATATACTTGAACTCTTAACAATGTTTATTTATTTATTTTGTCGTCGATCATGAAGTACTTTTTTCATGTTTTTTCCTGCAAAAAATCAATTTTCAGGTTTTAAAAAGTTTGTAAAAGAAATATTTTTATATTATTTCCCTAATTAATAAGATATTGATTTATTAATGAAATTAATTTGTTTTTAAAGCTTTTTCTATAATGAGTGAGTTATTAAAAGTAGTTCCCAAAGATAATTATTTGAAATTAAGACTAATATATACAAAAATGAAAACTAATATTAATAAAGTTTAATTTAGATGTATATGTAAAAAGAAAAAAAATTATATTACGATCCAAATTTATACAAAATGCATTTGTGAACACAAAATAAACCCTTCAAGAGCTGAAGATCTACGACTGAGTCTTCATTACCTATAACCTCGACCAACACAGATGTGATTATCGACTTACGATAAGCATCAATTGTTCAAAAATTATGGAAATGGATCTTCTTATCTTAAAAGAAAATGACATCATCATGTGAGAATATTATTATCATAAAAAGGTAAATCAATAGCTATGATTTTATAACGAGAAATGATCCATTTACAATTTTTTTTTACAAATTACACTAAGTATGACCGGTCATATTTAATGTAGTTTGTAAGAGTTTCTAAACTAAAAGTTTATAAATATAACTTCTCCTTTTATAATTATCTAGTTTAAAAAAATTCTTTTTTTTTATCATTATAGATCTATCTTTATATGATTATGATTACTTAAATAATTATGTTATGTATTTTTTAATATGAGAGGATCTAGATCCAAAAATTATTTAAAGAATTATTAAATTTATAGGAAATATATTTCTCATATTGCAACATAAAAAAAGGGAATGGGATTTAAGAGAAGAGAGAAAGAAAAAAAAAAATTCACCCATTTTTATGTATGCATGACATAAAATTATTTTATATATAATATGATAAACATATTTCCGTTTATGGGAAAATAGTATCAAAAGAATGGAAGATGTAAATGAGCCAAGTGTTATGAATCAAAACAACATATTTTCTTCGTCTCCCAAAGTAACCTCGTAGTCTCTTCAAGGTTCGTTCTTCACAGATCCCATGAATCAAATGAGAGGATGCGTGGCTAACGGAATCCGTCTGCTAACGGAATAAATCACAATACTCATTTCAATTTGTAAGGATCTAAAAAGCACATAATATTATTTTAGAGCAATCGACTTTTATATTTCATTAGTAAAAAGAAAGGGTTTTATAAGAGTTACGTTGTAGGAAAAGTGATTGTATAATGTTATACAAATTTGTTTTGCGTGTCGTAATTTTCTTTTTTTCTTTTTTCTTCAAAAAATATGAGCCTTACAAAATATTGTGTGTAGAAAAGTTTGTTGTGTATGTTAAATGACAAATGAAAATCCAAAAAAAAATAGGCATGGCTCAAAATTTTATATTTCATTAGTATAAGAAGACAGTACTTTTCTAGTAAAACGAGAAGTATTTTTCCCACTATTTTATACAATGATGAATAATGAGGTTTAAACTTATTATTTTATTTCATCACTAATGGCTTTTTATTATTTTATAAAGGAAATTATATCCATGATGTATGAATGAAATTTTTTATCATGTTAAAAAAAAAATAAGACCAATTCATTGAATAAAATGCTTTATCACTTTTTTTAATATTATATACCTTGTTTTTTTTTAATATTGCAAGAAAATTAATTTCTATAACATAAGGGATATATTCTCCTTTTATAAAAGGTGTTGTGTCCATATTAAAATATTTAAAATCTTAATAAAACTCCTATATACATATATAAATATATATTTTGGATAAGAAAAACAGTTGCACTTAGCTTTCTAATTTATAAGAGGAATGGATATACAACTAACTAATTTTTGTTTCCAGAGCCTCTACCATATTCATTTTATAAAAGGAATAATAATAATAATATTATAGCTTGAAAGTTGAAGAAGTGTAGTTGAGACAGGTAACTGGTAAGAGAGTGTTTATCCAAAAAAAAAAAAACTGATAAGAGTGATTCCTATCAATATTCAATCAACTCATACACACACACACACACTTACTGTGTGTCATTGTTTTGTGTGTGTAGCTCGATTGACTGGTAGTTTAAGTTTTTGCTTCGAATATTTGGTTCTCTTCTCTCTCTCTCTCTCTCTCTCTTGAAGGGAATGGAATTGGAGATGGAGATGGAGATTGTGATCTCCGATTGGCCTTGGTGGGACCGCATCAGCAACTCCACTCACTGGCAGAACGCACTTTTCTACTCTCTCTGTGCCGCTTATGCTCTTGTCTCCTCCGTCGCTCTGGTTTCACTCTTTTTACGCACATTACCTTTCCATTCCACCTCTTAATTGCACTTCCAATTCTTCTTTTCTTTTCTAGGAATTCATGTTTGATTTGATGCATCATCGTCTCATTATTATAGGAATTTCAGTTTTTCATTTCACGGTTTTGAATTTCAAATGCTGCAGACTCAGCTCATTAGAATTGAACTAAGAGTACCTGAATACGGTTGGACTACACAAAAAATTTTCCATCTCATGAACTTCATTGTCAACGGAGGTTTATTGCTGCTCTCACACTCTCTCGTCTTTTGTTAATTAGCTTGTTCGGTTGTTCCAGCATTTTAATTTTCTTTCTCTCTTTGTTTCTTTTTCGCATTCTCATATTGTAGTGCGTGCGGTAGTGTTTGGATTTCACAGCCAAGTTTTTCTTTTACATCCAAAGGTCAGTTTTGCGCCTCTGGTATTTAGTCTTTGAATTTGAAGTAACAACTTGAATTGATAAGTTGAAGAGAGAGATAGTTGATAATTGATAAGGCTTGCATACTAACATACAGAGTGGCTACTTGTTCGTTTAGGTGTTGACTTTGGTGCTATTAGATCTGCCGGGACTGCTGTTTTTCTCAACGTATACACTTCTAGTCCTTTTCTGGGCAGAAATTTATCATCAGGCATGCCAATTTTCTTCTTTATCCTTTCAGAATAATTTAATTTGACTGTTACGATTTAGTGAATGAAATAAAACCAAATCTCAGAAGGTAATTATGCACTTTGGCGTGACCAAGGAATTTTTTTTTTTCTCACTTTCCATTTTTAATTGGTTATTGAGATATATAAAACTATTAATGTAGTGTCGCCTAAACTTTTGGGTTGAATTAGTTCTTTGCATGGTATTAAAACGGGTTCGATCCTCACCGCCCCATTTATTAATAATTGATTATGTCATGTGGAGTTTCTTAGAGATATATAAAATTATTAATGTAACCTCACCCAAAAGCTTATGTTTTTGGGTTGAATTGGTTCTTTACATTATATCGGAGTCTCGATGTCACGGATTTGATCCTCACTGCCCCCCATTTAATTAATAATTAATCAAGTCTTGTGTACTTTCTTAGTACAGGTAAATGGGCCTATGCATTGTTCACCCTTCAAGGTCAGTGGGCTCTCGTGTGAGGGGACATGTTAGAGATATATAAAATCATTAATATAGCCTCGTCTACCCGCTTAAGCTTTTGGGTTGAATTGGTTCTTTACATTTATTTATTTCATTATTTTAGCTTTTATTAGGAAATAAATTCTAATTTTATTCCAATGATTGTTATAGGCAAGGAGTTTACCGACTGATAAGCTCAGGATAGTTTACATCTCTATAAATGTTGCTGTGTATTTTATCCAGGTATTTGTCTTATTCTTTCTTGTTGCCACAACATTATATGTAAACTGATCTGCATTATTTTGTTTGTTAGGTACGAGTCAGAACATAATAAAAAAAATAAGATTTGGAGGGTATATTCTAGAAGGAATAAACTGCAAAGGGTTAGTTAGATACACATGGTTACAATAGAAGTTAGGAGGTAATGTGGAGGATCATCTTGGAGAGTGACAGAAAACTGAGCCATTCTCAGTTGTTAAGGGGTCACCCCTTGGAAAGAGGACTCCTCCACTTGTTTTTCTATCTTCTGAATAACAGAGTACCCTTCTTACAATCCCTCTCTTTTCCCTACTTTCCTATAATTCCAGACGGCAATTGTTCTGGGACCCTAACATTTTGTTGTATTTCCTTAGTGTTCATCTCAATACATGATGACATCTCCTCTGAAATATGGTGTCCTTCCTGACTGTTCATATTATATTATAGGTCTGAATTGGACATATGATCTTTATTTTGATTTTTATATCATATGCTGTGGGACAGACACCAACAAGCTGCAACTCCAACTACTTTTACTTTAATGAAAAACTAGTGGTGACTAGTGTGGGAAAATTAGACACTTTTTAAATCATGATCTTCTCAAGGTATCTAAAAATATCATGGCATATATATTTCTACGGAACTTGTACATCTTGACCTTGAAGAGGGCTGGAGCAATGATAACGTTGCTTCTTTGTGACCGAAAAGTCATAGGTTCGAATCCATAAAATAGCCGTTTTGCAAAAAATGCAAGGTTAAGATTGTGTACAAGGATTTTCCTTGCCCCTACCCTTGTAAGTTGGGATTTCATGAGGAGTGGGTCTTTTTTTGTTTTTTGTGCATCTTGATATATGACTTATTAGTGTTGGAAGTGATTTTTTAAGATATGCAATTTGATTTCTGTTTTGGGCAGTCATTGTTGCTTACTTATATTTATGCTGCAAGATGCATTTCAAGCCAACATAATCTCTCCATAGGCATATAGAAAATAAGAACATGTTTTTTGATAGTTGACATCAATTATCATAATACTAAAATATGGCTTTGGATTCAGGTTTGTATTTGGATTTACCTCTGGATAGATGACAATAGTGTTGTGGAGTTCATTGGGAAGATATTTATTGCAGGTTAGCTTTTTTGCAAAGATTGATTTATGTTTCTACCCACTTGTGAGTTTAAGAATGAGTTTTGCCACCTCAAAACAGTATACTGCTATATGCATAGGCATTTTTTTCGTGAGATTTACTTTTCTTTTCTTCAGCTGTGTCATTTATGGCTGCATTAGGCTTCTTGATATATGGAGGAAGGTGAGTCTTCCGCATTTGACTGGATTGTCTATGAAATACCTTTGCGACCTCAATTTTATTTATTCAATGGTGATTCTTGGTTGTTGTGGGTAAAAAAATTTATTTCCGCCTGGTACACATTAAATGTTTCTAGATTATTTTTCATGCTGAGGCGTTTCCCAATCGAATCAAAGGGGAGAAGGAAGAAGCTTCATGAGGTATGTCAATTTGTTAAATATTGCTGTGGGAAAATGATTTGATAATTTTGGTTCTTGCTTTATTTCCTATGAATTTGTTTGTGTGGTCATGTCTTTTTCTATTACTATCAGCCATTTCTGTTTTTGTCTCATATGGTCTATTTTTGCCTTTATGACGGAGTTAGATGACACTTTTACATTAGTAAGATTGTCTTTTTTGCAAATCACGTTCTGTCACTACTCTGCCGTAAGATCCTCATCTTAGTCTAACTTTATTTCTTTCTTTTTTCCCTCAATCTTTAAGGGAAAAAAGGTTATTTTTCAAAATGTATTCAGGTTCCCAATGATACTTTTGTACATCAAGAGTTTATTTATTATGCATATAAATGACTTGGATAGAAAATCGTTGTCCCATTTTTGTGTTGCTTCCACTGTTCTATTAATACATGGATCTTCCAAACAGTTATAGAATCCCAAAATATCAACAGTTAGTTGCAAGTGGTTGCAATAGGGTGTCAGTAGCTAGTTATATCAATTAGTTAGATAGAAAAGTTGAAGGACAAGGATTTAGCTTAAATAGGAAGAGGGCTAGAAGGGAGTGGAGGAGAGTTGTTAGCATTGAGAAAACAGAGAAATGGAGTAGTCCTTAGAGAAAAACCTTTTAGGATATTTCTCACCTTTTCTGATTGATATTCAATCAATAAAGATCCAAGGTTTTTCTTTCTTTCTTACGTTTTCTCTATTCATGTTTGTGGGTTCTTAACACTCACGTAAACGCTATAGACAGAGGTTTTGGGAAAGGGCATGCCAAAGTGTCATCTTTGGGTTGGTTAGTTATTACTTTTAATCTTTCATAGTGCAAAAGGATTGAGTTTCTTGTAATTTCAACGACTATAGTCCTAAATTTCAACTATTGAATAGGAAAACCATCTAAATGAGCTTTTTAAGTATTCTATGACCATGAGTTATTTGGTTGTACAACTACAGGGTTTATGGTTTGAATGAGAAGGTCATAATCTGAATTTTCCAATCTTGTCATGAGCTGCTCTATTACCTTTGTCCGTTGACATCTCTCAAAGATAAATTGCGTTAAGTTTTGCCCTTCCCTAATCTGTTTCTATTTTTTAACATTCCAAACACAAAATTTGATTTACAAATCAAATCAATCAAACTCCATTTTTCATCTTTCGGAACACACTTACTGTTATTTGTGCTACAAAAACGTGAACAGTTTTAACTAGCTTACTCTTCCTTAAGTGCAAAAAATTCAAACACTTTTTTTCCCATAAGGTTTAAATTGTGGATGTTCTTGGATTAGACCTCATTATTGTGAACTGGAAAGAACCTGTTCAATCTTTTCATCTCTTACTCTGTTCCAATGTATAACAATGATAAATTAAAAACCATATATTCATCTTAGGTTTAATTGAATTCACATCAAATGAGTTTTGTATTGCAGGTTGGATCTGTCACAGCCATCTGTTTCTCCTGTTTTCTGATAAGATGCTTGATGGTAATATCTAACTATATTATTATTCTGTTATCTTTCTCATGTTGAAATAAACATTTCTTAACATTCTCTATTTAAATATGTTGGGTTTAGAATTATAATTCTTTTCTGCTTGGCTTCTGCACATCGTCCTTTGTTATTCTGTTATGCTATTTCTGTCTCCTTCCCTGTACTTGGAGCAAGAGAGGGGAGGTTGGGATCCACAGACTCGTACAACAAAAAACATGAATGTCTCTACCAACTTTGAGTGCAGTGATAAATATTTGAAAGATTCTATGTTGTATATTTAGCTTCTTGGTTGTAAAATATTTAAATCAATCCTTGTATGATTAATGAAAGTCTAGCCTTTTCTTTTGACAAATAATTATTGAAAGTGTGAACTACGCATATGTAGTTGATGAGGGTGTGTAGAGTTTGATGATGTGTGAGTTAAGAATGCCAATAAATTTGCTCTTGAGGATCTAAATGTGGCACTACATTAGTTGAATATGAGGGTCCAATAATGTGTTTCAACTTTCAAGTGCAACGCCATTAGACATGCAGGTAAAAAAATCTTAAATATTAAAGAAGTTAGAAGAAGGGAGTGTCTTAAAGTGTTTGTCATGAGAAATTGAGAACTAAAGCTGTAGGATTAAAGTTAAATGATGATATTTAGGGTATTATTATTCACGCATTAGAGCTTCTTTCTTAATTACACTTTTGATATGCATACAGGTGTTTATATCTGCATTTGATTCAGATGCATCTCTTGATGTTTTGGATCATCCTATTTTGGACTTAATCTACTACATGGTATTCTACTCAGTATTCCTCATTGTTGATTGCCCTTATTATTTTGGTTTCACTCTCTTTACATATAGGAATTGACCTTTCATTTTCTAAAATACAGCTGGTTGAGATCCTGCCTTCAGCTTTAGTGCTCTTCATCCTGCGCAAATTGCCTCCAAAGAGAATATCAGCTCAATACCACCCTATCCGTTAACTGTAGTGCATCTTGGATCTTAATATATTAATGTTATAGCCATGTAAGTAAAAGGGAGGTTAAGGGGTGTTGACTGAGAGGAGTAAGCAAATAGAAAATTTCTATGTAGTTTTGAGATGTTGTAGTGTTGCCGGCTATTTCCAAAGTTCCTTTTGCACATTTTTAGGATTAAAACGTACGTGCAATGATGCACCCATTCTTTTTCCTCCTTCAACATTGCTTAGGATTAAAACGAAAAGGCTGAGGTTGAAGCTTAATTTGTGCCTCGTTTGATTGAGATGTTGTAAATTTGAGTTACTACTTTTATTTATTTATTTATTTTATTTTATTTTTGGTACATTATTTATTTATTTATTTGAGTAAATAGTTACTACTTTCATTTAAGAGAGGTTAAATTCTAAATGCATGCCAAGAGATCCAGCAATTCATTATTAGCTCTGGAGACTGTGTTTCTCTCTACCTGGCCGAGTAAACTAAACAGACACCCCACTGGATGTCTCCTTCTATTCGTTGATCCCCTCATGGGCTAAGTTGAATTTACACGCATTAATAAAAAATTTAGGGTTACACGCATCTTTTGCTTCATTATTTATAGGGAAAAGTTGAATTTACATAATACACTTTAAAAACAAGCAGCATGATCTTTAAACTCGAACTTCGTAAATCGTAATGTGTGCTTTAATTTTTTTTTGTCTGATTTTTCATTCAGCATTAATAAAGTCGTCACGTTTTTTTAAGTTTCAAGATCAATATGCACTAGAAGTTAAGTTGGAAGTAGGGGGTGTAAATGGGTTGGGTTTGGCCGGGCTTTGACCTTCCTGGCCCAAGCCTACGTCAAAAAAATCTAGTCTACTGGCCTATTAAAGGCTTTATTTGTAGGTCAAGTCCGGTTCATTTTTAAAAATAAAAAAGTCTGACATGACCTACCGGCCTTGTAGGCCTCCCACTATTGAATTTGGTGATTTTCGTATTTTTCTCATAACGAAGCTAATGCTACGTCAAAGAAGTCATGTGTAGCAACTGGCAAAGCAGAAATTACATAGGATGTTAAACATCAATTCGTGAAGGAACTGTTACAATTAAAATAGTTGCAAGCTAAGAGGGAGATTATGTAGCTGAAATGAAATCTTTTCTATAATTCGCCTCGATTACTATTTTTTTCCTCTTGGGCTTTTGGTACAAAGTTTAGGAGTGGATGTTACGTGTGATTTATTATTACCTACGAATCGAATCAATATTCATAATATTCAATTTTAGGAGCAAACTTCATTCACAACATCGATTTTAATTTATTTTAATAAATTAAATAGGTCAGCTTACAAGGTTGTAGGTCGGGCTTGACAAATGACCTATTTGTTAAACATTTACACCCCTAGTTGGAAGCAGAAAATTAAACATTTCTTATCAAGAAATTTCATACAAAAAATAATCATGTGATTTAAGCATGACAACTTTTATTAAAGTTTGACGAAAAAGACTAAAATGTATATTTTAAAAAGTTTATGAACCATGCACGTTTTTAAGTTTGATGCACAAATTACGCATAACTCTAAAATAGAATGGGTAACTTAATTTATCTTAGTTATTATATTATGCGGATAATATGTTCACGTTGCATTTCTTTCATATTGATATGCTGCTTCTTCTTTTTCCAGTATCACAGACGAACCACAGAATTAACTTGAAATGGATTCAGATTATCTTGTAATTTTAAATAATAGGATATGATTTCGTCTGAAAGAGAAAAACATAAATTTTTGTTGAATATAACTATTTAATTTTTATAACCAATCTAACAGAACTACATATTTTATTCAAGTTCAGGAGAGAATCCTAATTTAACAGGGTACCGTAACTTGTTGCCTTATTCATTGTCATCGAGAAAGGTTGACATCAATAAATCAAACAAATTTGCCAATAATAATAATAATAATATATCAATCAGATTTTCATATTCTCAAATACAGCTTCTATTGTAAAGATTTGAATTAAACCTTGCAAACATACATGACGGCCTCGAGGAATTCCTCCGATGTGATGTGTGATAACGCATTATAGTAATGAAATATCTTGCCTAGCATTTTCCATTTAGTTGTAGAGTAACAAAATTTTCTGAGTAATACATAATAGGTCTCAAGTCTCAACAGTATTTTCACAACGTTAGAAGCTTCCCATGGAGTCTTTTTATCATATTATAATATAAAGAAGGGAATATTAAACCTGTTATCTCATTTCAGTTAAAATTGTGGACATTCGACATACGTTTTTGAATCATAATAATAAACAAATGCACGCGCAGAAAAGGTTTGAGAGAGAGCGAGGGAGATCTATATATTACAAGGTCAAGAAGCACTTCGTTGGTCAAGCACTTCGTTGTTGTATCGCTATTCAATCTTGGTGAAGTTCTTCAGGTGGTGGGGGAGCAAATCTGACATTGGCAGGCCGTGCCACAACAACTGTGTCATCTGCAAATAGTGCTTTGATGAATGATGGTGTTTTTAGTGGCCGGCGACCCGTCATCCGTGGATACACATCTTCAAGAAAATAGTATGCATGACCAGCAATCATTCCCTGAAAAATGTCGTCAACATTTCATTCACATGTGTTGTTCTTAGAAAATGTATATATAGAAATCAAGTGTCCCTATTATGCTATAATCTTTGAAAGGAGACATACCAGTAGATCCACCCAAGCACTAGCACCAACAAGTACAGAGAACCCCAAAAGAACCTACATGCATAAAAATTTTAGACCAGGTTGTTTGATTATGAGTTAAAACACAAGTAAAAGAAAAAAGATAAAAAAATTTCAGTACAAAAGCATAAACCAGATTTAATGTTTTCCTATCAGGTAACAACCGTAGAGCTTACGCACCCATGGAAGGTAGGCAGCGGTGAAAGTAAAGAGGCCTAGGAAGCTCATATGAATAAAGGGATTCTGTTTGCTCCACACGTAAACCTGAAAAAGATGAATTAAGCTTTAACATTTAAGACAGATTTGAACATGTGACTCAATTACAAAAAAATATATAAAAATGTGACTCACCATCATAAATGTCAATGAGTTGCTAAGGAATATAATTTTGGCGAATGACTCTGATAAATAAGGTATCATCCCCCCAAGAAGAACAATTCCAGTCAATACAGTTGCACCAAATAAGAGCATGTAAAAGAAATCAGCAGTCCTCCCCCGGAATGAGTTCTCCTCTAGAAGCTTGCAGTACCGGGCAAGAAAAAACATATGAAACAAGAAATCCAAGTCTGCCAAATCAATAAGAAAATACCATTTCAAAGTTAGAAGTATGATTCACAATTTTCAAATCAAATATCAAACAATGTGAAACATATGAGTAAAGAATATGCAGGCGTTGCTGGAAATATGCCTATTATTGAAGATAATATCTGTTAAAAGAAAACGTGACAAGCAAGAGAAGTTTGATTATATAGAGTTATTAGAGGGAATTTGCTGGGTATCACTGTTATTGAGGAAAATCACAGGGGTATGTCAAGAACTCATGAGAGTATTGAATACAGTTACAGTAAACAATCACAGATAGAAAAGCCCACTAGCAAACGAAATTCAGGTGTTGTGCATGGGGAGCAGGGAACCATCTCATACAGTACACACCATCTAAAAAAAGAGATTATTGACTTATGTGTACATCAACGCCACCTTCAATCTTCCTCTTACTTTACTTCTAAGAGGATAGGGTGATCGCATACCACTGCAAAAGCTGTTCAATCAGAAATGTATGATCTAAATTGCGACACATAAGGGGGTTCAGCAAATTTAGTAACTATGGTCATGTGTAAATATGAAGCAAGAACTATGCTATACCCTCCAAGTAACTAGAATAAATATCATAAAGCAGTTTCATTGCTTTTCATAAGCCCACAAAAAGCACATTTTGTAATCAAGTCGTTTATCTCTAGGAACTATTATGTCCACAGCCGTTCTCCTCATTATTATATTCGGGGTGATCAGATTGACCCCTTACCCAAAAAGTGGATACATCTAAACTATAGCAATAGCCATTACTCACTAGTGTTATTCCCAAAACAGTTAGGATTTCTTTCATGCAATTTCTTCTATAATGTCATTTTTTATGATGTAAGGATTAAATTCTTGATGCTTAAAAAGAGTCCCCGTTTACCTGAATTAATCAGGAACTACCAGTACTCGCATAATCACATTCACACATACATGTATAATTGCCACCGCAAACAACCCTCCCCCCCCCCCCCCCCCCCCCAAGAAAAAAAACAGAGAGAGAGAGGCATCAGTATATGGTCTTCCAAAAACAAAGAATTAAATGAGTTCTTCTCAGGTGGCAACAGCATAAATCTCCATATACATACAAGAAAACAACTACAAAATGAAAATCATAGCCCCGAGCATGTTAACATGAAAAAATTGAAATGTTGCCACATTATAACTGTAATTAGAAATATCTAAGTAAACAACGCGTCGATATCAATGATAACAATTCTTTAAAAGGTGAACAGCAAGAATTTTACCCATTTTCCGGAAGTACAAGAAATTAGTAACCAGACGCCAAAACTGATATTGCTTCACCACCAGTCTTGGGTTCAGGTACAAATGATACGGGGAAATTATCTGCAAAATCAATAAAAAAAAGAGAGCATCAATCAACAAAGAACTAGTAACTAAAGTTTCCAATCAGCAAAATCAAAAAGAAATTAACCCTCCATGATGCAAGACTTGAAAACTTAACCCTATACAACATCAAATTACAATCAAAGGACAGAAAAAAAAATCCCAATTTCCCAACAAAACAAGCCAACATAAACACGACCCAATAGTCTCTTCATTCCAAATTTCTCAAGACAAAAAATAAGACAACCAAGCTAATGATTTGATTTCAAATCAGTGGACGGACATTATCAAATCGAGAAATCTAAGAATAATAACAATTCCAAATTAGGCACACCCCCCACTTGAGAAAATATAGAAATTCCTAAGAGGGTACAGAAGAAATTGGAAACCCTAAAACCCAGAATGCGAAAAGAATCCAACTTGAGAAGAAAGGGCCTTACATCAAGGGAGCATCCGATGGTTGTGACAACAGCAGCAGTGAGATAAGAGCGTGTAATAACGGGCATCTGCTTATACCATTCTTCAACCGCTTGAGCCATTGTTATGTTCCCTAATCTCTGATTATAATCACACTGTAGAGAAAGAAAAGGAATCGAAGGTGAAAGGTAAAAGGCTCAAAAAGTTTAGCTATGATTCGGGAAATTGAGAAACGGAGAAGAAGGAGAAGGAGAGTGGGAATTGGAAGGATATTGATGTGACAGAAGCGGAAGAAGAGAACAAATACAACGAAGGAAGAAGCGATGCAAAGACGAAGAAGAAGAACGAAGAAGATAGAGATGCTACTACGACGAATGACAGAGACAACACGAATCACGAAGCCCGTGCTAATCACGAACCAATCGCGTTCTTCTTCTTTGTTTGCTCCACTGTGGGCCACCGATTGGACTTGGTCTTGGGCCTGGGCCTGGGCCTGGGCCTGGGCCTGGGCCTGGGCCTGGGCCTGGGCCTGGGCCTGGGCCTGGGCTCGGCTGAGTACCGTCTTAATTCTTTTTTATTTGATTGGAGCCACAATCCACCGATGCGAAAAGTTTAGCTTTGATTACTTTATACCATAGCAGTAACCACAATCCAAAATATTGACAATTTAACTGCTTTTTAAAAATAAAAAATAAACAATTAAAGCGTATTAACTTTTTATTAAAAAAATTAAATTTTGATTTAATTTAAAATAAATTAAAAATTTAAACTCGCATGCATATGTATGCACTGACATAATAATAATAATTTAACAAAATAATTTTCATAATATCTATATTAGTTCAATTTTTTAATTATATGTTATACAATTGGCGTTTTATTTATACTGATATTTGAAAGTTAAATTTATATTTAAGTGTATTTTATGAAATTATTTAAATACACATTTATTATATTTTAATAAAATATTTTAAACTTACATTTAATATATTTTTAGTAAATTATATTTGCATGTTAAAAAAATTTAATCACTAGTATTATGATATTTTATTTACATTATTTTATTAAAAATACAAGTTAAACCTGAAAATTTAAGAGGGTGTATTGGATTGAGATTTCAAATGATTTTAATGGATTATTATTAAAAAAAATCAATTGGTATTTAATTAGGATTTTAAAGGATTGAAAAAAAGTCACGTGGTATTCGATTATGACTTTAAAATATTATTTTAGAGTCCATCCAAATTCATTGGTACTCAATCAAGATTTTAAACACAAGAGAAACAATCTTATGGTATTCAAAAATCTGACGATTTTAATGAATTTTCTATTGGTGTGGATTTTGTGAAAATTTTTAGTGAGAAATATAAATAGAATGCATTTTTCACAATCTCACTCTAATACCTAGGATTTCTTGAGATTTCTCTATTTCAGTGTTTTCTTCTTCTTTTGGCGGGTTGACCAGCTCGAAATCGGATTTCGCTATTAGAGCTTCGTCAAATCTCAAAAATAACAGATTTTGAGCGATTTTCATCACAAAACAACCCAGAAACAACAAACAAACAACATTATAATATAATCCATCTCAAAAATAACAGAATTTTGAGAGCTTTTGGAAGTTTAAAAAATAATTTTTCAAGCTACGAGATGCGATTTTTCTTGGCACAAAAATGTGTGATTTTTGTATTAAAAATAACATAAAAAGGTGAAAAACAACAGGGGGACTAAAACTCTCAATCTAATTTTCATTTTACATCAATGAAACAATATCAATTTAAAAAAATATTGAAATTTTCATAATATAAACCTTATATTTCGTAATAATACATTCATGAACGAAATTCATTCGCTATAGGAAATGATTTCAATCAATTTTTGTGTCAATAGATAACTAAAAACTTGTTTTCAAAATGTCTCAAAGCAATTTAAGGTTTTAATATATCGATTGAAAATAATTTGAGAAATTTTCAATAGAATACTCACTGAAAACATGCGTATGATATATGGTTAGAAAACTCGTATCACATAGAACAAAAATCTCAAGGTTTTCAAGATCAATTGCAAAAATTTTCAAACGAAATTTTATCATGAGCTTTAGGTTCTGTATGCAAATTTAGAATTATTTTAATAAAAAAAATTGGGTCTTATAATCTTATATGCATAACTCTGATACCAAACGAAGAAGATGATTTTTAACTCATTGGTCAAACCTAAGAACAGGAACGAGAAAATACCAATGCATGGAAGATTAATATTGCTTTAAATATGTGGAAAACTATTGTTTAGTAATTTTGAATGTTTGTTAAAAATTATATTATGTTTTTTTTGGTAAATAAATTATATTATGTTTTACGAGTGAGAAAATTATATTAAGTTTTACTTTTTTTTTATTAATATCATTACATTTCTTTGCTATTTTTTTATATACTATTATAATTTTGAATGTTTGTTAAAAATTCATATGATTTTTTTAAATTTTATAAATCCGTATTGTTTTTTCAAATCTTATAAATTTTATTAAAATCCTTCAAAATCTAATCTTATGAAATCTTGATTGTAAAAAAGTCTTTAAAGTCCCTTCAATTTTAAATAGTCTTTTAAAATTTATAAAAAAATTATCTCAAAAAAATATTTTAAAATCTTAACCCAATATATCATGTGGAGAACATGCCTTTTAAAATAATTCTTTGGCCTAATTTTTTAAAATATGTATTGGCTGTTGGAATAAATCTTTGGTATTATTGTTGTACCAAAATCAGTGTATCTCACCGATGAGAGCATTATACATAAGAAGAAAAAGAATTTAGCAATTTTTTTTTTTGAGGTATGATCGTTTGATACCGGTGTCAAATTTCAAATTTGACACCTCATCTAATAGCCGTTAGATCAAAAAAGATCAATGATATCACATTTTTACAAATCAGAGTCTTTAATTTTTTTGATCAAATAACTTTCGAATAAAATATCAAATTTAAAATTTGACGGTGATAATATCCTACCTCAATTTTTTTTTAGTGACATATAATATTTACATTGCACTGAATCTTTATTCAAAGTGTAGGCCTTGATAAGTCACGTGACCCGTTTAAGGTAACCCATTATCGAGAGTGTAATAAAATATCATATCATTGGCACGAATCTTTCCTTTTTAGCTTTAGGGTTAGGGTTTGAGCCTTGTTTAAAGGGCATCGAGGAACGCTCAATTTTCTCTCTTTGTTTGCCCTTTCACGCTTTCTCTCTCTCTCTTTCTCTAGAATTTTCAGATTTGCTGGAAGAGATGATGCACCAAGGACCTGGTATGGCTCCACCCAGCATGGGGCAGCAACAGTACCAGCAGCCACAGCATCAGCAACAACCCTACGTCATGATGCCACCGCAGCCTCAGGCGCCGCCGCCCATGTGGGCCCCCTCCGCCCAGGCTCCGCCTCAATCCTCTCATCCCGCCAGCGCCGATGAGATCCGTACCCTTTGGATCGGCGATTTGCAGTACTGGATGGACGAGAACTACCTCTATACCTGCTTTGCTCACAGCGGCGAGGTATAACCCCCACGAAATCGATGTTAAGATTGTAGAATATGACTAAATCAAAATAATCCCTTTTTTTTTTGCTGATTCAACCTTGAAATTTAGGTGAATGTGAATTAAGATCTATATTTTTATTTTTTTTGTGAATTTGTGGTTCTTTTTGATGGCGGTTTGTATTCTGTGTTTGCTGTCAAGGTCAATAGGGTTCTCTGCTACGTAAATTTAGGTTTTGTTTGATTTTCCACTTGTATTGCATATTGATTTAGATAGATTGCATATTTGTATGTCGGAGCGTGTGGGTGGTTCTGTTGTGTTACTGAAGTGAGGGTTTTGTTGGTTTGCAGGTGACCTCTGTGAAAGTTATTAGGAATAAGCAAACTAGTCAGTCGGAAGGTTATGGGTTTATTGAGTTTAGTAGTCGTGCTGGTGCTGAGAGAGTGCTTCAAACATATAATGGAGCCATTATGCCAAATGGTGGGATGAATTTCAGATTGAATTGGGCAACTTTCAGTGCCGGTGAGAGACGTCATGATGATAGTCCTGATCACACCATATTTGTTGGTGACTTGGCTGCGGATGTTACTGATTACCTCCTTCAGGAGACATTTAGGTCTCGTTATAACTCAGTGAAGGGAGCAAAAGTTGTGATTGATAGGGGCACTGGCCGGACTAAGGGTTATGGTTTTGTGAGATTTGCAGATGAAAGTGAGCAACTGCGGGCTATGACTGAGATGCAGGGGGTCCTTTGTTCAACAAGACCCATGAGGATTGGACCAGCCACTAATAAAAACCTTGGCACTCAGCCAAAAGGTTTGTATTTTTCTTTAGTTGTTATTTTTTGTCCTTTTTGCTTTGATTGTCTGCTTGATATGCTTCCATAAAGGATAACTGAGCTGTCTTCCTTCAGATGCCTTATATGTCTTATTGATACTGGTTGAATTTAAGGCCTTATGTCTGAAGCTATATTTTGTGGTTTATGCTTAATGTTATTGAAGTTATGATTCTTTCCAGTTACACTCTTGAAGATTTGCAGTCCGAACTCATTTCTTCCTGTAATTTCCTTTGAAAATTTGGGCTAAATAAATTATGTATAATAATAAAATCTTATAGAACTCCTGTTGTCTCAAAGCAGGGTGTCAAGAGGCTCTGTCATCTCGGAGCCTGGAACTGATTTCAGCTGAAATGGTTACCATTTTAGTGCATGTCCTTGCTTAGGTCAGTTATCCGTTTATGTTATGCCCATTATTTTTTGTGGCATTTTCTTTTTTCGCCTTCAATTTCAAATTGTTCTCTTCATTTCATTTGCTGGTTTAGTTTTTACTCAAATTACAATAGCAACTTCTCTGGTTACTTATTTTCAGTCCGCCATTCTTAATCTTCGCTCCTTTAATTTACTCCAATTAGTTTGCCATAAGAACTACGTCTTTGAATTTCTTTCGTAGCGTTCCCTTTGCGAAAGCAAATCTTATTTATTTTTGATAATTTCTTCTATTCTTCTATCAGATGTGCCTATTAATTTCAATTTCCAATCTCCATCCCGTAAGGAAAAAAATTGTTGAGTGCTAGTGTTTATTGCTTACATTTACATTTTGTAGGCTGGTTATATTTATCATGTGGTTTTGTATTTTCATGTTGGTTGGGTTCTGTTCCCTTCTGTCCTACCCAATTTATGAGCATAATGCTATGCAATTAAAGCTGTTATTTACTTTATGTTGCTCATTCCTTTCAGTTACCTTGATCTTTCAAACTCTTGTTAGTAGAGTCTTTTCGTAAGTGTTCGAAAATTTTAGATATAGGAGGATGGTGAATATGATCATGTTCAAGGCAGTGTCTATTGGTTTTGTCTGGAGATGACCATGTTTCTTTTTATTCTTCTCCTGTGCCATCTTTGCTTCCTTCTTCCTTTTTGATTGTCATCATATTTGCTGCTTACTGTTACCAGTATATTTGTTGAAATGGTGCCAAATATTCTGCCATTGTCACTATATGACAACTATCTCTGTTGAATTTGCTCTAATTTATCTGAATGCATGGTTAATTTTTTACTAACTTTATTTTTAATGGTGAATAGTGCCTAACTTCTTATCTGAAGATATGTGGTTCAAGCTCTGCACTGACCATTTTGTTGCTTCTCAGCTTGCTCTTTATCTTATTAGCTATATACAATCTTGTTAACTGATGTGTTTATTTATTTATTCTGTACTTATGACTTCATTTCTGTTGTTGAATATTGTGTTATCTTTTCTTCTTTGAATGTCTGCATGTAAATGTAACTGGCTGTCTTGTTGCTTCTGACATCCCCTCTGAATATTTACATGCTATAAGTTTGCTCCTATAGAAGGCTTTTTTCTGTTCTTTATAAAAAAAACTTCCATGTTTAATCGTTGCAAAACTAGTTGGTATATATTTTCTCTGTTTTTCTTTCTTTGTTCACAGTGTCTTTTCCCTGAATTGCTTCCTTCCATATTTACATAATTCTTCTTTTTACTTCACTTATATTTTGAACATGCAGCTTCATATCAGAATCCTCAAGGCTCACAGAACGAGAATGATCCAAATAATACAACTGTGCGTGCTTCTTCGCTATATAGAAACTGCTTTCTGTCCTACTTGTATGTGACTTGAATTTTTTTTGGCAGATTTTTGTTGGCAATTTGGATCCTAATGTGACTGATGATCACTTAAGGCAAGTTTTCAGCCAGTATGGAGAATTAGTTCATGTGAAGATTCCAGCAGGGAAGCGATGTGGGTTTGTCCAATTTGCAGACAGGTAATGCAACCTCTTGCATTATGATATTTAACTTTCAAGTCTTGGCAGCAGCACACTGATTGTGCCTTGATTTTTCATGTATCAGGAACTGTGCAGAAGAGGCACTGCGGATTTTAAATGGAACACTGTTGGGTGGACAAAACGTTCGTCTTTCATGGGGACGCAGTCCTTCAAACAAACAGGTAATTATATTTTCAAGGGTTGTAACTCGTGCTGACTTGTCATCAATGCCTTTTAGATTCTTTTGAATAACTTTGGATGCTTTGTTTCTCAGGCTCAGGGAGATACGAACCAGTGGAATGGCGGTGGTGGTGGTGGTGGTGGATATTATGGATATGCTCAAGGTTATGAAAATTATGGTTATGCTCCTGCTGGACAGGATCCTAATATGTATGGCAGTTATCCGGGTTATGCGAGTTACCAACCACAGCAGCAACAGCAGCAAATAGGATTTAGTTAAGAAGTCACTGCTATATATTTCTAATCTTCTGTGATCGTATGATACTGAGTTGCTTATCTATTCTCGTCTCTCGTGGGACACCGACTCTGCATCTCTTTTCTTTTTTCCCTTTCGATTGCTTATAACATTACAATTTTATGAGAACCGTCTTTTGTATCCATAAAAAGTTTGCTTGCTGAATACTTATTTGATGTTTAGATTTGATGAAATCGTCCCTATCTATTATGCTTTCGATACTGTATTACGGTGTTTGTATTTTCATATTCAGCTGGTGGTTAAATGTCAGTGTGTGTTGTGCTTATTTCATTAACAGCAGGTGTCCATCGAAATTTGAAGTATCTTTTGCTCAATAGATGTGAAAACAATCTAGTGTCTCGCTCTTCAGAATCAATAAGCGGTCCATTTATTTGTTATTTGAAATTAGGGTAAAGTCTCCTGTCAACGGAGATAAGTTATCTCCTGTGTCATTTTGGGTGGAAATTAAAGTGTTTTTGTAATCTTAATATATTGTAGGGTTATATTAATTTTTATTATTATAATTTTTAATCTTATAACTACAAAATTATTTTGAGCTCACTAGAGATAAATTTTCAGTCTGCGTATCAATCGACATTTTTCACAAATTTTACGAGCAGAGGCCCTTATTTTCATATTTATCATTCCTTTACTTAATTGCAAATTTTATTGAAAGAAAATAAGGGAGAAATATTTTTCCCTTGAAATTATTCTAAATTTGCTCCTAAATTATTGGCATACGCCTCATAGCATTTTTTTTAACAACCAATTGTTTGCTGGGATATGAAGTGCGTTAATAAGTACATGCTCGTAATTTACGAATTTTCGAAACAGTAATTTTCATTAAGTTTATTGGAGAAAATATTCATTCATTATGACGGATTCAATGGCTCCGAAACAGCAAGATTGCAAAACATGATTTGAAGCAGCATATATTCAAACAGCATCAGGTTGAGAGAGCCATTTGAACAAACATAAACTTGAAAACGGTGTGAAATATACTGTCATTGAAGTATACTAAACTGTTACATTTGAATTATTTAACAGTGAAAGTCCTAGTATTGATATTTTTAGTTAAAATCAGCTGTGATATAAGAGGGTAGATTTTAAATTAAATTTGGTAAGTGAAAAATTGAGAAGTGTATGTAAAATAAATTCAGTAAGTGTTTCACATGTAGTTTTAAATACACAGCTATAAATGACAAGTGAATTGTAGATTTATTAGAAAACTATCCACCCTATACTCAGAGTACCTGATATGTTTAGTGGGCGAAAAAAAGAATCATATAATTTTTTTTCTAAATATTTAAGGAATTTTAGTTTATATTTTTAAAACTCGAAAAGTGAAAATTATAAGATTTTGAAATTGGTGCATTAAGTCAATTCAGAAAAAAAAAAAAATCTTGGGTAAAGGATAATTTAGCAAATGAAATTAAATCTCACGCCTCTTGGTGAACGATGGTGCAAAGAATGAAGTAAAGAAAACCAGTCTTCGACCTTTTGAGCAAAATTTGAGGAGGCCTACGACTATTTCGTTCCAATTGTTGCCAAAATATTTGCATGAGATATATATACATATGAACAGGATCTTCTTACACTAATGCACGAATAATAAATTTACACTCAATTTTAATAATTTATCTTCATACATTTAATGATTATAATTTATTAAAATTTAATAATTAGTTAACAAAAATAACCCAATCAATTATAATCGTTTGATAGACAAAAATTAACGACTAAAATTTAATGTAAGATTTATTATGAATTAAAATTTAGTGTAAGATTTTTTTTATCTTACACGGGTATAAATTGATCTTCTCCGTATACATATATGGCATTTGTACCAAGTGTTTTGACTAATTCTCCTCATTTCTCCGTCATTCTCTTTCTTGTTCTTGCAAGGATTTTACCAATTTGGACGGAATCGATTAATTTTTTTAAAATAAAATAAAAGATAAAACACCTTAGTGTTTTGAAGTTTACTTTGGTCCCCTTCGACTAAAACATGGGAGTTTTATACGTACTAAAGTAAAAGCATTCATACCTCAAAACGTAAAGATATCCTGGAGAGGTAATGTCTGCTGAATAGATTGGTTTGATAGTGCTTCGCATTCAAAAAGTAAGTTATGTCCAAGTATAATTTAGAGATGGAAGTCTTCTTTGGTTTCTAGATGATGCAGTAAGACTAAGTTGTGATTAATACATTTTAGTCAAGCTTCTCTCTTTCTCTCTGGGATAGTGTCTATGTTAACCATCCTACTCATCATGCATACATGATAAATGCTATAATCGGGAGTTGGACAAGAAAACTTGTTTCTTTTGAGCAGGCAACTGGAAAGCCATTATCAATAATCCAAGAGTATGCCCCCCTATTTCTTCCACTTCTTTATTTTTTTTTCTCCCTCGTACCATGCATACAGATATCTCAGTTAAAATGAGCAAACAGTAAGTTTTAGGGAGGGTTTATCCAATGTATAACAGAGAATATTATTGAAAGGAAACTCATCAAACAGTTCGATTAAAACAAAAGTACACGGACAATACTTCAAAAGAAAAAAACCATCCAGATATATAAGAAACTTTAAAGCGGAATGTCTATTCCATTCCAATAACACTTAAGTCAAATCAGGTGCCTAGCATTACCAGTTAATTCTCAGGCCGAGAAAGTCTAATCATGTCAGACTTCCTTTTCCATCTATTCCAGCTAAGTTGTTCAACAAGCATCTGATCCAATCGGGTTTTCAGATTCCGATGAATTAACCAAAACTTCAGTAGGTTGATTGACATCCACGTTATTGACAGCACCAGAAGAGCTACAGTTCTGAGGATCATTCGTCTCCTGGAAACCAGATCCTTCAGATGAAAGCTTTGGACTCAGAAGGAACAGCCTTTCCCTCATCAGCAATACCAGAACTTGGTCTTTCATTTTCGTTTGAGATCACCATTTCACTTAAAGTTTCAATAGAAACATTGATTATTCTAGAGGCCTGCATCCGCACAAAATTGTCAACAGATTTATTAATATGTTCAGCTGACTTGTATTCATGTTCAGCAGATACAGGGGTTTGGTTTACTTCAATATTTGAGCACTTTGGTTCATCAGGAATCAACTCACTCACCTTAAGCCCATAGAACATAGACAGCTCTCCAGTTGTGAGCGCCATCCCAGTGTTTACAACAGGTGGAGCTAAGTTGATGGGTTTAGAGGTTTTCCCAGAGTCTTTTGTATGGTTTGACATAGATTGTGTGCACATGTGAGTGAAGAAGACAGAAAGAGAGAGCCATTTAAAAATTTCATATCTTTCTAGGTTTTGACTACGAAAAAATAATATAAGCATTATGAAAGACTTTGACATTTAACCCTTTTCAAAGACCAAGACCATCTCTCCCAATAGCTAAAGTTATTAGGTGAAGGCTCAAGAATGGCCTTTTGTAACACCAACAAGGCCCCTCATGAAAGAGCCCACTTGAAACTCCTGACATGGTCATATAAGCTCTACTAGCATGTCATAGATCCTTATTATTATTAAAAGCATAAGCTGTTGGGTGGAGAAACAAGTATGGTTTTAGTCTTTTTTTTTTTTTTTTTTTGTATAACAAGTAAAACTAAAAAGATTACGTATCAGTGACCATTCTAGGCCAAGCTATACCCCTATGGTCTCTATTCAGTAAATCTATAAAACAGTTTTAGTCTTTTAGATCTCTAATAATCCTCAATAGCTATTGTTGAGATATATAAAAGCATTAATGTAACCTCATCCAACAGCTTAAGTTTTTGGGTTGAATTGGTTCTTTACATGGTATCAGAGCCTCGTGTCCCAGGTTCGATCCTCACCGCCCCCCACTTTCTTTCAAGTGGAATTTCTTTGTTCGCACAGGTAGGTGGGCATGTGCATTGTCCACCCTTCAAGCCCAGTGGGCTCTCGTGTGAGGGGATGTGTTGAGATATATAAAACCATTAATGTAGCCTCACCCAACAGCTTAAGCTTTTGGGTTGAATTGGTTCTTTACAGCTATTAAAGAACAGAGATAGAAGAAAGTTCTAAGGAAACATGTAGTGACTCGCATACAAAATTTATTATACAAAATAAAGGAATCTTATGCCGCCACATTTTGCATCTGTTATCCTTTATATTGATCCTGAATATGGTTAGAATATATTATCTAACATCATCTATCCTTCCAAACAATAAAAATACTTACACGCACACATATATACATATATATATATGAGGCTGATTATACTTACTACCAGTTTATGCTTACAACTTCTTACAACTATATCTATTACCGTCGGACCAAATTTAGATCTAACATGTCTAACCTCTCACTCACCTCCACTATTAATCTAACAGTAATAGGGGTTGTAAGCATAAATTTATTTTAAGTATAAGCAACCTATATATATATATATATATATAGACAATACTTAGATAAATAAATTATACTGGAATCTAATATAAGGATCATAGTCAGATTACACAAAAGTAGAATTAAACATGATAACACCTTTACAATTGCTACTGCATTATACCCTGCTTCACCTGTCTCTTTCACACTGATACCTCCCCAAATGATAGCAATTATGATATCAATTAGTTCACAGCATATGCCACATCTAGGAAGGAATGACATTATCACAACATATAAAGTTAGTTAATAAACTAAAATACCCTGTCTATAAACTCTCAGAGAAATGCTTGTCAAGGGGAGGAAACTATAACCCGGTCATACAAACCATACTTTGGTTCCAGGGAATTCTGATTATTTTCTTTTTTGTAGCCAGAATTAAACATAAGTTTATCAAAGATGCATGCCAATTTATTGGAGTTGGTAACACTCGATGGTTGAACATGATTTTGGAATGGTATTTGAAATTAGATTTGAGTACTATATCATATTATTTTAACAATGTTTCATGTAGCAGGTAAAACAAAACAAGGCATAAATGGTACAAACGTCATAACAAAGAGAAATTTTTATGAGTTACCAACCAATGTTAATATTGAAATGAGATCAATATATCTTAATGATTCATATTGAAGAAACATTCGTTAAATATTATGCTTTACATAGGCCTCAATTTATTTAATGCAAAAGAACTCCAGGCAGTTATTAAGGGCCATTTTCTTATGATTTGGATATTTTTTTATGTATCTCGCTAAAACTAAGTAGATCATATGTTTCTCTAATGGAATCATTTCTTCTGGCATCCTACTGCCTGACCAATGGACCAGTGAGTAACAGAGAAAATGATTTGAAGAGAATAGAAGCACATTAAACATTAAAACACCAAAGTGAGCAGGTTTGTCGACGACAAAATTCACAAGAAAATGAAAACAAAAGAACACAATCTATATATGCAAAAGCATCATCTTCCCTGCACCCTAGATGAGTCTATCAAAATAGAAATATAAATAAAGGGCACCCTGATGATACGGGTCACACTGCGACAACTCCAGCAGTTGCACCAAGCCTCCTCCTGCAAAATAAAAATAAAAAAAAAATAAAAAAATGAGAGTCTATGAAGCTCCTAAGATCTTTCTACCCTGTTATCCATTAGTCATTATAGAGATTTGTGTATTTACCATATCTAATTTCATATAACATTTAACTACATAGGGCTAAAGCGATCGGAACAGAGGATAAATATGTTAGAGAATAATATAAAATCATTAAAAAAGACCCTCACCTAACATATTTAAGTTTTGGGTTGAAGTGGTAATTAACAGAGCTTCACTGACCATAAGGTCACGGGTTCGATCCTCACCGCCCCCTCTTGTAATTAAACAAGTATAAGGTAAAATCACAAAAAAAATTGGGCCTATGCAATATCCACGTTTCAAGGCCAAAGGCTCTTACGTGAGGAGGTGTATTAGAGAATAATATAAAATCATTAAAAAAAAGGCCTCACCCAACACCTTAAGGTTTTGGATTGGAGTGGTAATTAACAAAATAAATAAAAACTATCATAGGTTTTTTTTTTTTTTTTTTTTGGGTACATTAACATAGGTTTTTTAGAAAGAAAAGGATCTGTTTACAAATGTGTACTTTGTTTCAATGCATGTTTTTAATAACAGTTGAACTGCACTCACCACTTACTACCAACCCACAACCAAACATATAATCTCATTCGTAACTCAGATTAAACCCTAATCCACTGAGGAACAAATTTTTATCAAATCACATTCTACTTTAACAATGCCATAATATTACCAAAAAAAAAAAAGGCACGTTATTTCATGTAAACGTAAATTCATTATTAAAAAAAAAGAAAACACTCACAGATGGATGGCGGGTTATTTTCCAGAAAGAAGCAGAAAATCAGTTGAAACTGTTGTGTTTGTTGTTTACTCGCTCAATGGCAATGCCTCCAACTCCAACCTAATTGGAACAAGAAATCGTAAACGTGGTTTGATTTTGCATGCTAATTACTAATTAGCAACACTATAACTTTTCTTTCATTTTTTTTTTTAAAAAGAAAAAAAATCTCCCGAAACATTTACAGTTCCAGAGTTTTGAAGAGAAGGTGCAATGGATGCAGAGCTATGAAACGGCGCATCCTGACTGCGTTCTTTTGTGGATTTAACTTTGGGCTGACCCAATAAAAAAAGATGAGATTTAAATATCATGGTTCAGCCCAAAGTTATTATTTATTACACATACGTATTATTTCACATTTACTAGTTGATTTTATCTTCTTTTTTTGCAAACTTAAAACTATTATTCTACTATGATGTGAGAGGTTTAGTAATATATAGCAGTTATTTTCCTATGACAGATTTGGTTTAGTTGGGTAATTTGATACTTAATGATGTCGCATAATACATATTTTTTAAGGGTTCGTTATTTATAAAGTTATTCTAGATAATTTTGTCTAATGTTCACTGAAATGACGTCATTTTGGAGCGAAAATCATGGTGTATTTATAATTTTAATTTATTTCAGGATTATAGTAGTTTATATCATTTTAATTTTTTAACCTCAAAATAATGTCGTTTCGGTGAACATTAAATAAAATTATCTAAAACAACATTAGATACTTTTTTTTCCATTTTTTAAACTAAACTCCTATTTTAGTTTTAAGCCTGTGTGATATCTATATTGTTTTTTTAAAAAAAACTTCTTTTACTCATGTTCGAAATTATATTTACTCCACCTGTCTTTTATTTTAATATTGCTATTGCTTTATAATTTTATTACTATTATTATCTAAACCCCTAGTATGATTTAATTTTGATACCTTTTATACATGTTTAATTAGTGAATTAAAATATGAAGCACCTGTGCGAAAATAGATATTGTTTTTTCAGTAAAGGTGAAAGTGGGTCGAGCCGGCCTAGCTTATATCAGTTCAGACTTGGCCAACTATATATAGATAAATATAACGAACCCGAGCTTCTAAAAAGGTCTATTTAGGAAGCAGTTCATAGGTTTTACTTACATGTCGGGCCCAAGTTTATAGCTGACATGTATCATATTATTTATTTTAAATAAAATAAAATAATATTATTCATAGTAGTACCTAATGGTGATAGCTCAGTTGGTAGTTGGTGCATGTTATCTGAGTAGTTGGTGGAAGGACCTAAGTTTGATCCCCACCAATATCATCTTTTGGAGAGGTATAAGATCTGTACCAATATCTACAGTAGCATCAGAATCAACATTTAGTGCTGGAGGAAGAGTTATTGTGGCTGAAGATATCATCCAATCTTTAATATGTGGTGGAGATTGGATATGTAATAAGTATGACTTGAAGAAAAAATAAAAGGTATAAAAATATTTTTTTTGTTTCTTAATCTTTTTTTTTTTTTTTATAAATGGGTCAGGCCAATAGATAGATTCGTATTATACTATCGGGTCAGGTCAAATTAAAATTCTTTGAGATAAAATTCGGCCCAACTCAATCTACTTTTACCCCTATTTTTCAGTGATTTTTTGCTTAATGAAATATTGCTATAAATAAAGTACAAAACTCTGCATCGAATTCAACGATCTCCACGCCGGTGGAAATTTTGGTCTGTTCTATATTGTGCAAGCCTTATGCTTGTCGCTTTGCACTTTGACTTATGAGCTTCTATCACAATGATGCAGCTTGCACATCAATATGAATGCTTCTTCTTCTTCTTTTAGAAAAAATAAAAAATTGATTCTCATTAATTATCTTTAGTGGCAACGTCATGCTTCTTCTGGGTCGGTGTTATTAGAAATGGCATTCGCATTGCATCTATATGGTCAGGCACATACAGCTGCACCTTAACATGCCATGTCAAATCTGATCTCTTATAAATATTTTTTTAGATACAATCTCTTATAATTTCGCTTCCTACCAATATACTACAAGTCTTTCGGAAGCAGGTGAAATGTCATCATATTTTTAATTAGTATTAAATTATTAACTTTTTCATTAACCTTTTTTTATATACTTACAAACTCTTCTTTATAAGAATTGAAACCTCCAAAACATAAACGCATATATAACAAGGTATTAATATTTTTTATTTTATAGAAGATTAATCTCATACATAAAAATTTGTGGAGTTTATATGGGTCTATATGAAAAGAAAAAAATAAATATAAATCTCACACATTATTTATATATATATAAGATAAAATTATTTTTTATAACCTGAGAAATATTAATCTCATATAACAATTAATTATTCATTTGGTTATAAGATTTTAAAATTAATTGTTTACATATTTTAAAAAAAAATTAAGTTTAATAAGTAAAGTTAAGTTGCGAAATTATTGACTTATCTTAAGTACTTATTTATTATTTTAATACTAGTACGTATTATATAAATCAAAATAATATCATAACAATTATTGTGGTCAACGTACCATTATTATTTTTTTAAATTATTATTTAATCAGTGTTATTGTACGTTAAAAAATTCCTGCTCATGCCAGAAAATTGTATACCGAACCTGGGCCCATTGACATCAATGAGGTCACTCGACTCACTCCTTTTACTAATTTGTCACACTACATTTTAGGGTTTTGATTGGAAAAGGGACTACTATTTTTTTTAAAATTACAACTTTTATGTAAAATTATAATTTAAGTAATCAAAATTATGAATTGAGTAATAAAATTATAAATTTATAAAAATTAGATATTTTTATAGTTTTACAAAATAATAAATTATCTCCTGTAATTTTCTTTTTAAAAAATCAATATAATTTTGAAATATTTTAGTCATATAATGCAGTCAAATTCATAGGACCGGCGAGATCGATGTTGTATGGGGATGCAAGTTCACCACGTGGGGCAAGAAGTGAAGTTCAAATCTCCCTTTTTTTTTTGATAACAAGTTCAAATCTCCCTTTAGGCCTTATCGATATCAACCTGGTTACTCTATGTGAGTTTAACGTATTTATGTCATGGTACACAATCCCCGCCGTCCGTCCCAAATTTTACTATCTCGTAATTATGAGAATGAGAATGGGTGGAAAAAGTTTTAAAGGTACGAGTCTCACCCCTCTTTCTGAAAATGAAAGAATATAAGATGTGTTATTTAAAATGAAATACCTTTTTCTCATTAGATATATCCAACTCTGAACATCTTTTTCGAAAAGAATTTTTTTTTATTGTGATGAATTTTTTTTTTCAAATATTAAAAAAGATGTTTCGAGTTGAATACATCTAATACACCACTCTCATACGATTTTGATTGCATAGAGTTAAAATCACATTAAAGCTAATTTTTTATATATAAAAAAAAACTCATTAGAGTTTTGCCCACGTCAGAGTGTTAAAATCAATTCAGAAAGTTTCCTTTTCCGACTTTTCTAAAAATACACATTGACTATTTTTTTGTTTTTTGTTTTTAAAAAAGATTAGTGGTTGAGGCTGAGATAATTGGATGATATTTTAAAAAAAGAACATATTTTGACACATTTCATGCAGGTTCTACTTAGCAGCCAAAAGACAACAAAGAAAGGACAACCATTCATGCAAGTTTACATTTGGGGTAGATAGCACAACTCAAAAGATTTTAATCATGGTTAAAACTCCATATTTTTCTAAGGCAGTTTCTACTCGAGGACATGCATATATGGTTTAATAATTTTCACAAAATGATGTAAGCCAGTTCAGGGACAGTCTTATCTCAATTATTCAACATATGAAATTAGTGCACATGATCTGCTTCATCACCTTATATATGACATCCTTGAATTGAATGACCCCACCGTCACTCTAGCTTAGCACTAGCCATAAAATATGCTATAAATATGACTTTCAAACCTGTCAATGCTTGTAACTCTTTCTCTTTCTCTCTCACTCTCAGTCGACAGGAAAAGTCCATCTTTAAGAAAAATGGCTTTGTCTAGAAGGTCATACGCTGCTTACTCAAAGATGGATAAGGAGGACCCTCAAGAGATAATTCATCGAAGAGCACAGTTCTTGATCTACAAATTGTTGGAGCAAGCAGATTCTCGTAGTAAACAATCATGCCTCAGAATCAGAATATCTAAGTTGAAGGTGAAGATTGGGAACAGGTTAAGGAAGCTCAGGAAGAGAATTATGTCAGGTGTCTCTGCGGCTAGAGTTGGCATTCATGGACACGTTATGAGTCAAATGAAAACATGGAAACGAGTGTTTGGCCGAGGAAGACAAACCCTTGTAACCATTCCTCCTCTTATCAAATGATCATATATATACATATATGTATGAATGTAAACAAATTACTAGGAAACTGATGTTTTGTGTAATACAAATGTTATGTTTCGGTCTTTTCTATCATATTTTTTCTTCGCAGTTTTCTTTAGCCTAGATAAGTGTGAAATCATATCATCAGTTCTGCCTGAAGATCAATTGAGTTTTTGCATTTTCTTTCTATATCCTTTTTTTTTTTTTTGTACATATATGTCTCCCTCTTTTCTGGTTCTGTTAATTAGACTCTGGACTCTGCTACAGAAGTAGTAGATGAAACGGCAATTTTCGTCCGTTGTCAATTATGTTTAGTTATTGGCACTCACTGGCGGTGGAAATATCTTTTATAAAAAATGAATTCAGAAGTTTGTAGAGAAGCTAGGAAAGTAATAAAAATTATGAAACATCTATAAAAATAAATAGCAGATAATTGAAAGGTTACTTTCAGTCATTTTTATAGAAAAGTTAAAAAAAATTGTTTGATTAGTCAAAATTTTACCAGAAAAATTGAATTAAATTTTATTAGTCTGTGTTTGGTTGAAGTAAAAAGAGTGACGGGAAAGTAGGTTAAAAAGACAAAAATAACCTTTATTGTTATAATTTTGAAGGTAAAAGAACATTAGAAGCACGGTTTCAAATTTTTGAAATTCACCATATACTGTCCACTTTTTGCAAGTCCACACATGTACTGTGCAAGAGGGTAAAAAAGTCATTATGCAAGTCCACTTTTTTCCATTTGCATAACTTTCTACAAATACCATATTGCAATTGGCAAAATCCAAGGGTGCATTTGTTCTCTTTTTTCACATAGTTGATGATTGCTAGGCAAAATGAGTTTGCAAGCTAAATTTATAAAAATCCTCTACTAAACAACGATAACAACATTTACCAATGATGAATGCCGAAAATATTTTCAAAAAATCTATACCAAACAAGGAATCGAGACTAAATATTAATTACATGATGGGCTTTTATTAGTTTATTTTGGAGTAGCTTTTTAATTTTAAATAATTTTTTTGAAAAATAAATGACTATTTTAAAAAAAACTATTATGTAAAACATGAAACTAAGTACATATATATGTCTTTTTTTTCCCCGGTAAACATGTATATATGTCTTTAAATACACAAGAACTATCATAAAATATAAAAAGTAAAATTTAAAATAAATTCAATTCATAATCAACGTGTTATAAATTAGTAACACTCATGGTCAATATAATTAAAGATAAGACAACAATAAAACAACTATACTTACTTTTTAAATTGTGACTAATGTTATTTATGGAACAAAAAATTTATATATATCATGGTATTTTTTTATGTAAACTGTGACTAATTATTACTTTTTGTCTTATATTAATTAAAGAGTGCCTTTTTTATTGCTGTCACTGCACTACTTTTATGATGCAGCAGACACGGAAAAAGTGGGACCTAATTATTCTTAAAAAAAAAAAAAAAAAAAAAAACTAGGATCCACTAATGTATCATATTTTTTTATGTGTTGTTGCAAAAAAATTTATATGTGATAACAGTAGAAATTCATTTCCTTTTAATTAAAACTAGCATAAATCTTTATTTTATCAAAAGTTCATATGAGAATTGTCATCTATTTAGGAATAATCACACATACAGATACATATATATGTGAAGTTGGGAGGCGATGACTGCAAATTCCCATTCCCTCTGCCATGATTCAGCTAAATAAATAAATAAATTTAATACGTAAAATGAAAAATTACTCTTTTCTTCTTATCTAAACTGACGTTTAAACATACTAACTTAATGAAGTTTTAGTATTGAAATGCTGCATATGATCAAGGGGTCTGTACATAAAAGTCAAGAACACATTTGATGAGTAGCAATCCTGAAAAAGACACATTATGACACAGAGTGTGTGGTCGGTGCAGTAGTTAAGTTTCTGATGGTAGCTGCTATCGGCTATTTGATTATGTATTATTTTGTAATATAACATCCTCAGCCCCTTCAAATCTGGTCCACGTTGTACTGATACAATAATTGACATTATTGAGGGAAATTAAGACTTTCCCAATTAATTTTCCAGTTTTATCCCAACTTGTGTCCGATAATATATATAATATATTAGTAGAGACGATCGATTACAAGCTTCCCCATATATGAACGGTCATTCTGATCAAAGGATATTATAATTATTCATTAATTGTAAAATAGTAGGAGGTTTATATAGGTTTGTGATTAGGAAACTCCTCAACTAATTGTTTCGTTTTCCCCCCCTTTTATTCCCTTACCTAATTAAGAAGGTTAGGACCAGCTAAACAAGAAAATAGGCTCATTATATTTTATTTAAATGTGTATCACTTCAATTATATTGTATAACTAAAATATTTTCCATTTACCCTTATATATATGCATATGTAGTCATTAGTTTTCGAGAATGAGATAATATTTTATTGTACCATCTTCATTAATAAATTTTTTAAAAGCTCTCAAATTAATAATAAATTTTGAATTTTTCATGTTAATTTTAATTTTCTCAAATTTAAGTTACTTTTATTCTTAAATAATTTTTTTTTTACAATTTTTTCCTTTCTTTACTCTTTTTTCTCCAAATATATCAACTACTATTTCTGTTGGTGACAAAATATCAATTACCTATTTGTCACATTAATTCGTTTTAAATTTTTTACTGTAAAATTTATTTATTTTTCTTCCTGAATCTCAACTACTCCACTTCTATACATTAAATTAGACTACACCATATTCAGAAAGGCTTCATCTTTTAACATATTCTCCTTTTAAAAAAATGACATATGTCATTTATAGTTTCTTTATTTTTAAATTTTTAAATTCAATTTTTAAAAATTAATCATGCATATTTGTTATAATTTTAAAATTTTCTCTTGTAATTTTTTTTTTTGAAGTTTACTTAAATTAATTATTTATAAATTCTTTACAATAATTTTGAATATTAGTCGTTTGTTCCAAATAATTTACAGATCCTTCAATCCCGACTATGATTAATTTACAAGTCTACCCATCAAAACTATCATTTACCAGTCCACATATGGATTAATTTCACATATACTTTATCTATTTCTCTCTCTGGAACATGAACTAAGTATACTTAATCTGAACCCAGTGCATGGCAGCAAGTTAGGATTCTTTCTTTCTAAGATCTGAAGTTGATTCTTTTTAAAATGAAAATTTAAAAAAGAATTCAAACATAGTGTGAAAGTAAGTGCCGGCATTAATGACAACAATTATTGATGAGAAGAGTCAACGAGTCAAATGCACCAACTAAACAGCCGTTGTGACCCAGCTGCAACTTCAGTGTACAGTCCCTTTATTATAATTAGTTTTTTTTCCCGTAGATATGTAATTAGTTTTATATATACAGGTATCGGCAACCAATTGCATCCACCTGTATTGCAGAAGCCCAACCTGGCTAGTGAATCTTCCGACATATTTCATATTTTTCTCCATTAAGATTCATCCCCCGTTAGAAAATTTTGGTATAACTTGCAGTAATGGTCCCTGTTTAAGACCTCGAGGCCTACTTGCAATTTTTTTCACTAAATTTGAGGGAATACATCCTCCCATGATAAAAATTTTACATGGCCTTATCATATATAGTTTTTGTGCATCTCTCTCCACATATATTAAATAAATAAAATCTAATAATTATTAATGAAAAGACAGATAAATACAAAAATTTCATAATAATAAATTATATGAAATTTTAACATAAGATAATTCATTTTCAAAAACTTGATATATATATATATATATGAGAAAATATTTCAACAGCTACTTTAGATAAGATTATCTATAGGTACTTCCAAAACTATGTCGTTTTGATTAATGAAGGGTGTTTCTGTATTTTTAGGTGAATTAATGAAGGGTGTTTTAGTAAAATTGATATGATAAAAAAATAAATAAAATTAAGGAAATATCCTTCATTAATTCACCTAAAATTACATAAACACCTTTCATTAATCAAAACGACGTAGTTTTGGGGTAGCTGTAGATAACCTTATATAAAGTGACTGTAGATAACCTTTGAAATTTGACACCTCATTTGAGAACCATTAAATCAAAAAAGATCAACGACTCTGATTTGTAAGTATGTGACACCATTGATTTTTTTAGATCTAATGGCTCTCAAATGAGGTGTTAAATTTCAAATTTGACACTAGTGTCAAAGGATCCTACCTCATATATATATATATGTGTGTGTGTGTGTGTGAGATATGTTATTTTTATATAGATGTAAGAATAAGAAATATTATGTTATAAAAAAAAAAGAATAAGAAATATTACACCAAATCTTAACTGTTGATTTTCGTGCATGTAACTATTAAAATTTATTAGGTCATGTTAATTAATTAATTAATATGACCCAAAAAATCTAAATCGTTAGATGCACGAAAATCAACTGTTAAGATTTGGTGTAACACTTCTTATTCTTACACCGATGTAAGTTAATCCTATATATACACACATACACACACGCACATATATATATATATATATATATATATATATGTATATATACATACATGTATGTATATATACACAACTATCTATATCTATATATGAGGTAAGATCTTTTGATATTGGTGTTAAACAACATCTGAAGGCCGTTAGATTAAGGCAAGATCAACAACTCTCAGATAAGATGTCAAACTTTTTTCTTTGACACCGGTGTCGAAGATGCTTACAAATTAGAGGATCGATCAAGGTAAGATCAACGACCCTCAGATGAGATGTCAAACTTTTTCTTTAATACCAGTGTCAAAGCATCTTCTCCATATATAAGATGTCTTGAGTTTTCAAACGACATATTATAAGCTTCAATTGGATCTGTATAACTCAAGTTTTGCTTGTCACAAGCTCATTATTTCAAATTGGACTCCCTGTAATAGGGCAACAACTTCAAAGTTAAAACTGTGACTATTCTACTTAGCCAATGGCTCTAAGATTACGTAGGGTTATAGCTTCATATAGGTTCAAATC